TTGTAATAATTAAGCTGTACGATGGATTTTCCAGCTTATATAAAGCATGAACATTGAAATATTGGGATATTGTTATTGCATAGTTGGATAATGTGAATACATAAATGTAGTTTTGATTAATATTTTTAGTATGATCAATATTTCTAGGTATGTAGTTGGAAAAGACTTTGTTTTTTTCTGTCGCCAAAAGCTCTTAAAACATAATCAGAGAAAATCTGTTTACCTATGAAGGATTCTATAATCATAATTGCATCAACATTATTTAGTTCAAATGTGTAATTTCACACATGAATGCATTTGAAAAATATATCAAATGAAATAAATATTTATATAATCTTCAAGTTTTACATACACAGTTTTATTGATCGCACACAGATGCAACCAGAAAGTGTAATTACAATTTATTTCTAATTATATAAAATATTTATCACCAGCATCTAAATTTATTGATATAAAACTTATAAAACGTAGAAATTTATAAAATAAAAGATTAGGCACTAGATATATTATTATTGGTTCTCTGAAGAATTTGTTAGGAAGCCATCTATTTCTACATTTTACTGCCTTTGTTTTAAGTAGCGCGAGTTTTACATCAAGAAGAAATTCGGGAAGAGTTATCTGGTAAATGTAACACGATTTTGTGTATCTACAACGGAATTCTAAATAAAATTCTATTTATATTTATAAATGCAAGGAAACATGATATCGTTAAAGTTTATTCTTAGCGTAATAATTAAAAAAAAGTTAATTTTTCTGTTATCTGTCCCTCTAGTTTTGGTAATTGAACGAAGTTTCATAGTTTATATCAAATACAAAAGCAATGTTTGTCGAATTAAATGATACGAAATACGATTTTGTATATTTTCACGCTTCGATTATTATTAATACAATTAATTCGCAAATAAGAAAGTAAAAACATGATATGTTTGCTTTACATAACGTGTTGGACGGCGCCAATCATTAGAAAAATCTAGCAAAAATAACAATAATAAGATTAAATATTCAAAGAATTTTACTTTCGACTCCTTTCCCATTGTTCTTTCTTTCTTTGAAATGATTAATCCATTCACATATGCATATCGTATGCTATTGTTTTAAGATTGAATATTTACTACTGGAGCTACCGCGTACGTCTGCAATAATATATTTTGCACTGATAACAACTGCTGATTATGAATGAAGGAAGAAATAAATTTGCAAGATCTCAAAACATAATTATCATTTTATAAATATTTTTTCAAAATTATAATTAATGTAGTTATATATTCTGGAACTGCAAATTGATGTGCTTTTTCCAATTGAAAATATGTGAAGTAATTATACTTCAGTTCCTGAAATTATGTTCATTAAGCGTCAGCGTTTTAGTTATCATTTTCCACTAGCCGAAGAAACACTTACAATGGAGCTAAATTGGCTACTACTAGAATACTAGAATTATTCGGGTTAGATTTACAGAGATGTAAATAGTTTTCCAAATCATTAGTCTTGTGTCTATTTTTTCGGAATGATACATTGAAATTTTGATAAATTGCAGCATTTCAAATGTTTTATCATGTACTAAAATTGGATTACATTACATGGTTTTTTATACACACATAAATCTATGTATATATATATGTATGTATGTGCTTTCTTGTGTCATTTGTAAACTGACGTGTAATGGGCGTATAAATAGAAAATTGTTCTGTGCCAGCGAAAACTTACACGACAAATTCTATTTCTGAGGAGTTTGTAATCGACTCCTGGAAAAGTGATTTCGTTATAAGAAAATTGATAAAGGAACTAGATATAAAACAGCTTGATTAACTAAATACATTTCAACATTTTTTTAAATTAATTGATTTAATATTTTGCTAATATTCAGAAGAAAAACAAAAAAGTATTTAATCTATAACCTATTCCAAGTAATCAAGATTTATAGTTTTCTGTGAAGAAATATTTTAAATCATTTATTTTTGTAAATTAAACGCAATCAATATCCCCTTATTGATTAAATAAAACTCAAATAAAATTAAATACCATGAATTCCCAGACAATTGAAAATAATAGACTATTCGTCTCACAATCACCTTAAACATCTTGTGGCCCATCAATCTCTATTGTGGAACGAGGAATATGTATATGATATAATGAGGAATGAAAACAATTTTGTACAATTTATAAATATTGATCTTTGACTTTTGTCAATATTTCAATTGAAACGAATTATTATATTTATATTCTAAACTTTATCGGAATAAATCATATTGAATCATATTGACGTTGATATTGTTTGTGCAAAATATGTAGAACAACTTCATAGATTCTAAACAAAATAACGATAGCAAAAACATCATATATAATTTAACGTATAATGCAGGTAATAAAGAATTTGTTAGATTGACTTTAGCTTACTTATAATTCTTGGTTTGGATATATTTTACGGAAAATTATTTGATTCGAGTATGGTACTAAAGCCTTGTTAAAAATAGTATTGTTAAAAACTATCTAGGTAAACCAGATCAAAATATTTTCTGTGTTATTGACTAGTGTTAGAAAGTTCAACTGGAATTGCCAAAGTCTACCTTCGTTCTTATTTTTTTAATCCTTAATTATTATTTGTGGCGGTTAATTACAAAATTATGCATGCTTTTCATATATTGCATGTGAGCATGTTTCACAAGTATATCAACAAATGTTGGTTTCTCTTTTATGTAAATATTTTACATTAATCGCACTGTTTGCATTTGAGTTTTTTTATAATGGGCTTTTGATAGTCGAGCCTTATTAAGTTAATCTTTTAAGCGCAAATGAAAATCTATTGAACCATATTTAGTTTGTTTCAAAATCTTTAGCTTAAATCCCAAAACTGCAAAATGGAATAATATTAAACTTGAATTTATATTTTCTGTTTATTCAAGTTTCAATGTGTTTTAATTGCCAGTTAGATCTCGAATTCCCACAACTAAAGTAAATTTGCAATAATTAATATTATTTTCATAAAATACTATACTTTACCCAGCATTCTTGATTAATTAATAATGACTTGAATATTCATCGTACTGTGTAGCATTAGCATTATTATCAAGTCTTGCAGAATTCTAACACAAGTTTTAATATGTTGTCAGACCGCTTTATATATAATGTTTATAATTAACACAAGTCGACGACTGAACAATATTGTATGTTTTTCACATTATAAAAATGATTTGTTATTAAATTCTGTTTCATTGTTTGCTTATCAAATATGTCAGACTAAGTGACCTGCGAACTAGATTAAGGATAACGTATTGTAATTCATTAGAAGATATTTAATGGTAATGATTCATTGAGCTTCTACTGCAACTATCTTCTACTTTGATGTTTATTTAGATTAAATTAATTGGCTTAAGTCGGCAGCAGATGAACGAATTTGCGAGATTTTATAGTTGCGGTCGCTAACCTCTTCGTTGCTTATATAAGTCAACTATAAGATAATTGATGTGTATATATATATATATATATATATATATATATGTGTGTGTGTGTGTTGACAATATTATAACATTGTTGGTATTCTCTAGAAAAAGACATTTTTAGGTTAATCGTTTCTTTATACATTGCTACCGTTACCAGCTCAACTAATGACTTTTTTCTTACAAAACACTTATGGTACATATATAACAATTTATTTCCTTGGGTGATAATGTGCTTTCATATAAATAGTACAATCGTACTAATTTATCATATGATCTTGTCATGATAATAGTTAGTGAATAACTTTTATGTTCCTGTACTCTTTATTTCTCTCTTAAAATGTAATATAGTTTTACTGAGAATTTTACTTCATTTCTTATGATCAACTGACTTGAGATTTTCAATTTTTTTTTTTCAATTATACACGAAAATATGTATTCTGACATAAATTTACTGAATTTAGCTCACAATTAAATAATTTAGCAATTTACTAGTTAGTAATTAAGTTCCAAGGTTTAAATAATTGAGATTCTATAAAAGTATTTAGTATAGTATTGTTTATATCAAATTTCCGATTTTTCACTATTATCTATATCAAACTATTAACAAATTTTGTATATAAAGTCTTCTTGTAATCACTCAATTAAATTTAATTATAATTAAATGCTTTTGATTAGCATTTTAATGACGTTTTCCGCTTTGGAAATCGTCCTGTACAATTATCTATGACACTTCATTATTGTTCAAATAACGTGTCAAGGAAGCCAATTGATAATGACAGGAAAATTGAAATAGTAGATGATTTGAATATTATTACAGATTTTATTAAAATCACTATTACACAATATTATTGTCATAATTGTTATATATTTTTGTAGTAGCAGTTTTCATCCTATCTACTTCATTTAAGAAGCATCATTTAAATAAGTTCATTTAAAGGGAGGAGGAATGTTTGACAAAATATCACGAAATACAAAGGAGGAGGGGTGGTGGTGGATATCACGTATTTATTTTTGCATCAAAAAAATCCAAATTTGAAAAAGAAATTGAAAAACGATTTGACTGAAGATGCAAATATTCTTAAAAATTGATCACGTGATTTATGGACAGCCCCTAATTGTATAATTTTTTTTATTATATTATAAACATGTTTGATACTTCAGAAATTATTTTGTTACTTAATTAGTAATTATCTTAATTGAATTATATTATTTAAAAAATATTGAACAAGATATCTTTATCAATAGAAGATAGATAAAAGTGACTTACCTGCTATAATTATAAAGTAATGAATTTTTATGAATTAGAATAATGAGAAAATCACTTCTCTTGGATTAACTGTTGAATAAAACTTATAAATACAGTTCTGTAACTAAATATACGATAATTCTTAAAACTCAACATTTTACTTAACTGGAACATTCTCTGACTTATTAATTAATTTACCTCCAGTTTGAATGAATGGCTGTTTTTATTCTCTTATATATTAATAACAAACAATATTTTTTATCCTGTCTGTATTATTTAATAATTATTATTTAATAATTTTTTTTTCTCATTTTCAGTCTGTTATCGCACTCCCGCGATGCAGTGCAGCATCGAGAGCAACGCGACGCGTTCTTCGCCAGCGAGAGCTGGTCTCAGGGTGAATTTCACCGACAAGGGCGAAGTCAAAGAACGTCGCGAAAAATTCTTAACAGCCAAATATGGATCTCATCAAATGAGCTTGATTCGAAAAAGGCTAGCAGTAGAAATGTGGCTGTATGATGAACTTCAAAAACTATACGAACCACCGGTAAGATAATAAAAAAATATACCGAAAATATTCAACATCATTTTATTTTAATATGCAGAATAAATATTGTTGATTTATGTTTATATATATATATATATATGTGTGTGTGTATATATATGTCTTCTTTCCCCTTTTGTTTCTCACAACTCTCTCCCATTCCTTCATTACACGTGTGACTACACTGCGTTGTAACCTAGATCAGTGTCCACAATGCAATGCTATCAATAACATTAAATATAGGAGGGCATTAAGTGCTCCTTCTATTTCTAGTTCGTTAATATAATAGTATTTTATTATTTTACACAAATTTAGTGTCCAATCAATTTTACATCATAATTAATTTTTTCTGTTGTTTTTTCTGGTTTGGTTTGTATAATTTCCTCCTTTTATATATTTATATTTATCATCAACTGTGTTTTTATGTACATCAAGTGCCAAAACGTTTAATGGAATAAATAATTTTGTTATTTAATATTTTTTTAAATCGACAGTTGGGCTGCAAAAATATTACAAATATGTATCAACGTCGACAAAACTATCATCATATATGTATATATATGTGTATATATATGTATATATATGTATATATATTTTATGAATATGTTATAGGGGTATACCGCGTAGGACTAGCGCTATCCTTAATGGAAAAATTAAATATTTACAAAGACCAGCAATTTATAGAGACCTTATTACTTCTGCCATTATTGCATTGTAATCAACAAAAGTTGTGGTTACAAATAAGTGTTTCTAAGATAAATATATATTGTTTTTTTTTCGAAATATTTGATTGAGAATGAATAATTCAATAATTTCATAACTCAACGAACACCTCGAGTTAATGTTTCACAAAAAGCCATATTGCATTCATAAACGTTATAACGTGCACGCATACATAACGCTCATTTAGTCATATTGCAAGTATTATAAGAATAACAATAAGAAATACAATCAGATGGACAAACCGCGAAGGCCGGCGGTATTTCTTGTTGTTAGATTAACTAGAGCGTGTGGTCATTTGTAGGATGTTGCGAAAGTTTATATGAAAAATAACTAAATACACTCGATTCGCAGCACAAAGCAGTGATATGATGGTGCGTCAAAAGCATTAAAGTGAGCATTTATTGCAGTTTTCTATTTCCATTCACGCTGGGATCCACATACATTGTTTTCCTTTCATGAACGCACGAAGCTCAACTCATATGGCTTACAAATATTTTCATATACTTCCTTATATAATAGCTATCGTTTAAAAAATCATGCTTTCTTTGGGTATTATTGTTAAAATATTTTTTTTAATAATTTTAATTAATCTACAATATTTCATTTTAATTTTTTAAGTATTTATATTTTTGTCTTGCCGTATGCACCTGCTTACATATTCGAATATTAAGTAAAAGGATTAATTTGTAGAAAAATTGGATTAATATCAAAAAAGTTATTTGAACAGATCTTTAACTTTCCATAGGGTAAGTTATAGTAATGGGCCTAAAATCGAAAATGAAATTTTTTGCATATCTTTTCGTTTCAGAGGTTTCTGAACATTTTGGCATACCTCAGAAAAAATTGATGTGTGCGTGTGTATGTGTGGAAACAATTTTTCGTCGACGATTTTGGGCGTATGGATGAACCGATTTGAAAAATTTAAAAGCAATTAATTCCCATTGATAGGGTGATGTGCTGATTAGCTTTTGGCAAAGGCAAATCAAGCGGCTTCGGAGATATGGAGCTACAAGTGCTAAAAATGTCAGTTTTTAAGTGTACGGATCAACCGCTTTGAATGATCCAAAAAACATTCGATTCGTAATAATAGGAAGAAGTGGTGATTAGACTTTGGAAAAAACAGGTCCTGCTGATTTGGAGATACAGAGCTAAATGGGTATAACCAGGGGCGTCGGAACCAAATTTTTGATGGGTGGGCTCGTTTTTTTTTTTTTTTTAGATAGGCTGCCAGTAGCCTCATTTTTTTTTAGAGATATTAGCCCATATAATTTTTTGAAATTGATGGGTGGGCTGAGCCCCGCCATCAAAATTCATGGGTGGGCTCAAGCCCACACAGCCCACACGGTTCCGACGCCACTGGGTATAACTAAGCATCCGATTTGAATGATCCAAAAAACTTTATGTTTATGCTTGTGTTAACAAAACAATTGCTTTTGGGTAAAGAATTTTTTTAAATTTAATTTTCAAAAAAAATTTGTTGGATATCAAAAAATAATTTGGATTTTCATTCTAATTCTAACTAAAGTTCTAAACATCACATATAATACTTCAAATAATTATAATAATCTATTTGATAACATTTAATATTCCTCGAATATTTCAATAAGGTACGGGAAATTGCAGCAATTTGCCTTAAGGCACGATGCCATATACCACTAGTTTTGTTTTTCATTTGCATATATGCATTGGCTTATGATTAATGATTTTTTACAGGGATAGCATAATATTTTATTCTGACAATTGTATACTTTTTTATATCATTATCTTGTGGCATAACCAATATTTGAAATTTTTAAAGGGCCTCATATCATACTCATACCTGCTTCATAAAATTTTTGCGATACTGATCAATATCTAAAAACGGCAACAATATAATCTTTATGAAATCATCTATATTGCTGATTGTTCCGAATGATCTAGTTAATCTAGTTCTTTTTCTAAAGGTATCACCCTCCTGTCTGATATTAAACAATTTTGCTGCCCCTGTCCGATTAATAGCCCGGCGCATGATGCGATTCGCGCACGAATGCAATTTTGCACGCTTTTGTTGTTGTTGGGCCTTCTCTTCTATACACTTAGCTTCTCTTGACTCCCGCTACACCTTTATACCAGTAGGAAAAAATAAATAAATGCACCATAATAAAAATATAATCGAGAGTGGGAACTAGCAACAGTCCAGACGTAGCGAAGAATTTTTGCTCAATGAATATTCATTACAGAAAGTCGGAGGTTTTCGCATTGTTTTAAATATGCATAAAATTATTAAGATTTATATTTTCATAGACAATGACTAAGGTGTAAATATAATAACGCTGTAATGGAAGTGTTGCAGGAGAGAAAATATTCATATTCCCATAGCATTACTTGTAATTGCGATGCTAATTGGAGCGGCTTTCAAGACTTTGTTGTATTAATGTTTTAGTTGCAGTATTTTAATTTATTTTTTATATTATTTTTCTACTCGTATACATTTATATGGACAAACAATGTGTCGTAGAAAACTTAAAAGTTAAAATGTATGTAAAAAAAACTAGTTGTAAGTAGCATTTTGTCTTGAGAACTCCCCGATACCGATACATAATTATCTTAATAAATAAGAACTGAGATCTACTGAATTTCAATTCATCCATTTCATGCTGTGCTTTCTGTATTTTATTTGATTGTGGACGTCAACTGTGATCAGTAGCTACCTACGAAAAACACAGAATGTACATGTTTCAGTACGGATTCTGGTTAGAATCGCATTGAGGAATTTTTTATAGTTCATTTGCTTATCGCTGGCCTATAATAATTTGGTGTGTTTTGTGTGTCTATTCGTTTGCATTTATATGTATAAACAATGTATCGTAGAAACCTAAAGAGTTAAATAGTATGTAAAAGAACTAGTTGTAAGTAGCATTTTGTCTTAAGGCAAGTTGCATGAACACCCCGATACCTATACATAATTTTCTTAATAAATAAGAACTGAAAACTGATGAATTTCATTTCATCCATTCCGTGTTATGCTCAAAATATGTATTTTATTTAATTGTGGAAGTCAACTGTGATCAGTACCTACCTACGAAATACACAAATCGTACATATGTTTCAACATGGATTCTGATTAGAATCGCATTGATGAATTTTTTATAGTTCAATTGCTTATCGCTGGTCTATAATAATTTCGAATAGTGTTTGAATTTTTAAATCACTCTCACACATACATCATTTTTTCAGAAAAAAATCGTTTTCTTCGGGAACTTCATTAAGAATATTAGTTAAAATTCAAAATGTTTCAATACACAAAAGCAGTTTTTATTATTTTGAATAAATTTTATATGAAATTTTAAACGTTTCGGATGCATTGTTCTATTTTTATGATTAAAAACAAAGAAAGTGAATTTTTGCTCATGAGCATCTATGTGAATAATGCGTGATCTATCATAAAAAATAGATTTCGTTTTTAGTCCATTTATTTAAAAACTCACGTTTGTATTAGCTTAATTCACTAAGAGCGTCAAAATGTTTTATGTATTACTTAATTACAAAGAAACGGCTCGGTCGATCTTTACCAAGAACTAATCAACGCGATTCCCATCCAATATCTTCGAATAATTTTTGAATTTTTTAATCTCTCTCTCCCACACATCATTTTTATAAATTTGGTTTTGCAGGAAAAAACTTTTACTTCGGGAACCTAATTAAGAATATTAGTTAAAATTCAAAATGTTTCAATACACAAAAGCAGTTTTCATTATTTTGAATAAATTTTATGTGAAATTTTAAATGTTTCGGATGCATTGTTCTACTTTTATGATTAAAAACAAAGAAAGTGAATTTTTACTCATTGTTATGAACATTTATGTGAAGAATGCGTGATCTACCATAAAAAATGGATTTCGTTTTTAGCCCATTTATTTAAAAACTCACGTTTTTATTAGCTTTTGTTTCACGTATATGAAGATGGGCAAACTATTTTATAATTAAAATACTCTGTTGTGCAAACCTAGTTTTTTCCTCATATATATACATATTTAAATGATGAATACCAAATTAGGTTTTATTGTATTTTTTAAGTTATTGGCGTGGGTGATTCAATTGTATGAATGTAGGTAGAATGAAATACGCATTTGATGTCAAAAATGTATTTTCCATTTTTAAATCTGATGTGTATATGGTGATTTTAATTACAGCTTTATTCATCGATAGAGATATCTATATTTTGGCAATAGTCAACCGATATTTCTATATCATATGAAACAATATGCAAAGTTTTTTCATTACATATATGGCTATATAGTTATGTCTGTATACTCTGCACTATCTGGTGACACATAATTATCAGGTTCATACTGATTTTATATTTCAGTATTCCACTTACTGTATTTTTGTTAATTGCACAATGCATACATACAGTATTAAAGCTTCAATAAAATCTAGAAGTGACACTAAATGTTACCTTCTGTGGTCAAGCTAAAATTAACATACTTCTGTGAACACGGGAGTGTGTGCTTGACCTGTTTTTGTGCGTCTTTCACACGCATGTCTCTATCAAATGTCTTCCGCAACTTGCGAGATCAAAAAAGCTTAAGGAGTTGATGGATACTTACTGTTGTTGCATCTTAGACAGTTCTAGATAGTCGATAGTATATTGCTTGAAAAAGTATTATCTTTCATTGAAGGCAATTGAATAAACCACAAGCTAGTTGGAAAATAACAACAAAAAATTGGATTAATTAAAAAGTTTTAATTTCTTTCTACTATACCAATAATTAACTTCCCTCAGGGTAAGTTATTGTAATCGTCCAAAAATCGAAATTGAAAATGTTTGCATTTCTCGACGTTTTGAAGGTTTCTGAAGATTTTGGCATACATCAGAAAAAATGGATGTGTATGTATGTATGTATGTATGTATGGATACAAATTTCCAGTCACGTTTTCGGGCGCACGGATCAACCGATTTGAATGGTTCAAAAAACATTCGATTCCTATTGATAGGGAGATGTGCTGATTAGTTTTTGGTAAAGGCAGGTCCAGCAGTTACGGAGATAAGGAGCAAAGAGTGCAGAATAATAATAGAAATCGAGTTTTTCAGATAACGGAGCATCCGATTTGAATGATTTAAAAAACATTCAATTTGTAATGATTGGGAGAAGAGATTATTAGTTTTTGGCAAAGGCAGGCCCAGCCATTTCAAAGATACAGAGCTAAATGTGCAAAAAATGAGAGAACTAAGCGTCAGATTTAAATGATTCAAAGAACTTTCTGCTTGTTTTAACAAAATAATTGATTTTGAAAAAAAATTTTTTTTGTTTCAAAATTTTTTTTTAAATTTTTTTTGTTTTAAAATTTTTTTAAAAATTTTTTTTTTTCAAAAAAAATTTTTTTTTGTATATCGAAAATAATTCAGATTTTAATTTTAATTCTGACTAAAGTTCTAATATACTTTAAACAAATAATTTCTACTTTGCAATTCAGTTTATATAATTCTTATAAATATTAGACAAGCTACAGTATTTATTTATATTTGAAAACATTTAATATTCCTCGAACATTTTGTTACTGTACGGGAAGTTCCAGCAATTTGCCTTAAGGCACGATGCCTTACACCCCTAACATACTTGATGTTTTTTTAATCAATTTTCTGTTCAATTTCAATGTAGGAATGCGTCCTGTTATGAATCATTTTCTGAACATCCGAATAAAAAATATTCCTCTACTAAATATTCAGGAACTCAAAAAAAAAAAGAAAGGCAATGATAACCGATAATTTAAAAGTTTTACTTGACGCATACACGAAGAATTTAATCTTTTGTTTTTCATAATTATTAATTTTGTGATTACACATGATTGATGTTTTGGGTTCTTAATGACTGCGCCAAAAATCTTCAAATGGGCGTGGAACGTCAGGGATATGAATGCAGTAAAGTTTATTAGTTGTTATTATTAATGGATTAAATTATAGCTTTTGGATAATATATTTTGTTAAATATGTGTTTTAAGATTTGAATGAGTTAGTACTATTTATTTGAACAGATTTCATAATAAGAAAATTTTCTTTTATAATAAGAAATGTAAGGTTGCAACGAAAAATATCACATTGCAATTTTAAACAAAATATCATGTTTCAATATGTAGTTGATAAATTGTTTTGTTTGCATTGTAAGTTTGCATATAACATCAAATATTATGAATCCTAGTAAATACATGGAAATTTTATAAATTGTTAAGACCTGTGTGCGCTCTTATAGAAATACTAGAGTAAAACAATTAATTGTTGTTACCGTTGACTGTATTTTATAGTAAACGCACTTAACCACGAATTACCATACAATTCATCGTTGAAAACCTCGTGTAATTGTATACAAATTCTATAAAAAATGCTATGGTTTTTAATATTTCGACATTTAATTTTACGGTAAGCATATATTCTATTTCATACGTTAAATTTTGTTCGGAGAGATGGGTTTTGAAGCTATTCTTCTATTGTTTGCACGTGACAGTATAATGAGACGAAGTATAGTCACATCGAGAATTTAAGTACTCATTTCTATAGGAGCAAATAATTTATGATGTTGTTTTGTTTGTCGTATTATATTTTTCTTTTTTATTCTATATATAAACTCGGTGATGTATGAATTGTGTGTTGAAACAAGTTTAAGAAAAACGATAATATTAGTTTAATCGACCCATGCTTATAAATAAATTACGAGTTGCGATGGTGTTTATCATTGAAGATAATTACTTTGATTATGAATTACAACTATTTATAATTAAATGATTTTAATAAAACAAAAAAATAATATTGTAATAATATTACTCATTATTTTAATAATATTACTAATTATTATTTTTATTGCAGGCGGAAGCTGTAGATGTAGATATAGATGAACTTCTCGATATGGCCAGCGATGAAGTTCGTAAAGCTTACCTCAATGTAAGTTTATTTACTTATCCATTTATATTTTTTTATATTAAAATGCTATTTTACATAATATGGAACTATAAATTTACATATTAATTTAACATTGTGGCAAGCAAATGCTGATATCAAAAAATACTACGAATTAATTATCCTTTACCATATCAATTACATTTTATACTCGTATATAAATTCTACGTGTGGAATTAGTTCTGCGTTCTGTACGATACTTGTACCTTATTAAATGCAATTTTTTTTTGAAAATTGATAGACAATTTGATTTAATATTTTTATTACTTAATATTTATATTATTTATACATTTATTTATATGATTCATCATATACTTTTTCAAAGTTCTGTCGCTTGCGGTATGCATAAATAAACTTTGACGAGATCGAGATATTGTATCAAAGAAGTTCTGTGAATTTTACAAATTCTTTGAAAGCGAACTCCACAAACCGATTATAAATGATAAAAAAAGGAATACAATATTGTTATCGCATTTCCTTCAGATCACCGGAAATATCGACTGTAATCTATAATCGCTATTTGTCATTGTCAAGATTTTGCTTTTTTATACAATTTTTTGACCAGTTTCAAGAACGTCGAGGCTCTGTTGAAATGCAACTAAAAGTTAAATAATAATTAATATTCTTATTTGTTCTCGATGTCCATTAAGATAAAATTTGTACTAGATCAATATTTAATTTTATGTTGTTTCACTTATTTCATTAGTACTCAAGTTAATTGAAAATAATTTATCTATTTTTAATGAAATATAAGTATATTATACTATTTTGAATTATATCTACTAAATATTATTCAAAATAATATAACAATCTTAGAAACTCAATTTTGTTTATTTAATTTTTTAATCAAATAAAGCAAAATAATAATAATTAGTTCTGATGTCGATTGTAAATTATGATTGACTTTTTTTAAATTCATTTTTTATAAATAAAAAAAGTCATGATTGACTTTTAAGAAGCCATATTTTAATTAGCAGTACTTAATAAGTATTTACTTTTAAGTTGCTTCATTTTATTTTCATCGATAATTAACAAAAACGAATTTAAATACATTACATACCATGTATTACTAGTAGCAACGTTTTAGACATTTTTTTTTATGTTATTCACTTTGTTTGCATTTATTTCGTCGAAATGATTTTTAAAACATTATTATTTTTAAATAATTTCATAAATGTTCATATTAGTTCTAACGATAATTATTTAATATTGTAAATTGTGCACTAGACAAGACAAACAAGGGAAAACTTTAAAAGTATTTGAAAGAAAAGTCAATGAAAATTTAATTGATTATTATGGTTTTTTCTAATTTTAATTTATGATGTATTTTTTTATTTATGATTTTATTTTATCTGTGAATCAGAATATGATATGAACTTACATTCTATCATGGTCACTATTACTGATTTTTGTAATTGTGATCAGTATACTTTTTTCACAAGTCTTGAAAAATATTTTTTATGTTTCCTTTTACCATATCAACAAATATAATATAAAACGAATTATTACAGGAACTGTTAGCCGAGTCTAAGAAACCACAGAAAGAAATAAGCGTGAGTATTATTTTATTATTAATATACAATTTTCTGCTTATTTTCTATAAATTCTCGTTTCTGAGGCCACCTCATTCATATTCCTAATCGCGTTAAACGTTTATTTTTAGACAAATGGATCGTAAAATGGGTCCCATATAGTTCGAAGCCGTAATTTGCATATATAATTTTTTTATGGCACAAAAACTGACTATTGATTAAATCTTAATTTATATACGAGTTTTGATTCTGTATAATAAATTATCTTCGTAATGTAATTGAATATTTCTGTGTCAGAAATTAATATATTTAACTAAATATTTTACTATTCATTTACAATTCTTTTCAATCATAGATTGCAGATTTTATTGTTGAATTTAAATGAACTGTTCTAGATTATTCCTTTAAACATTCCTTTAAATCATTATATAATGTCTTCCATGCATCATGTCTTCAAAAGTAAAATAAAATCAAGTGTGTTAGCAATAAAAATCTGGATTATTCCAGAACCAATATGTATCAATTTATGAAGAATTAGTTTTTATAGAAACTAAAATGTTTTTTTCCAGTATTTACTTCATTTAAGTACTTCGTGTCCTCAAAATACGAAAAATATTTACATAAGTTATATTTATTGATGAAACAAAGCAAAACATGTACACGTAAAATAAATATATTACGTTATTGGCAAACAGCTCTCACGTTATATAATATTTTCCAATCAGTATATCCTGTAAAATATTATTACTGTGTTAACCAAAAAGAGCATAGTATAAATTAGTTTAATTCTATTATTTTAAATGAGAAAAATTGAACTAATTATAGTAAATAATTTAGCATCATTTAAGCAAAAACGATTTATGCAGATACAATGTAAATTAAATAAAAATGTATTATATAATATATCTGATTCAAAAAATGGACTATCAATAACAAGATTAATGAATTAATGATCCGCATCACTAGAAAGTGCATTAATTCAGTGCTCCTAAATATCAAATGAACAATAAATAATAAATCATCAAATTTATCATTTCTAATGTTGTAAATTATTTTGATAAGTTCACTCTCGTAACGCGAGGAAAGTGAGTACCTATTACTTCAGATTGACGACTTTGTAGAATCGCATTTTTATTATGAGCATTTTTCGTATTTATTAAGAATGCAGAAAATAACAATCCTTTCTATTTTTAACGGTAGTTGAGAACGGCATCTTGCCATATATACCTATATGTCTCGAGTCGAAATATTCGATCGATAATCTCCAATGTCCGAGTTTTAGGGCATTTGGCGCCAACCGTTATTTATCTCGGGCTCGTGGATCCACAGAATTGTGCCAGTATTAAATAAAGCTGTTTTGTTCGATTTTTTTATCTTTTGCACCAGTTACTCAACTTGTGTGCATTATTAAAATGCAATTACCTTGAGGTAATATTCAAAATTTAATTACCTTCAAACAGTATTTTTAAAGTAATACTTAATTACCTTCAAATACTATTATTTACACGTGTAGCTGGAAATTAGAAATATGTTTGGGCAAATTATAAGTATCATTATAAGCTTATGGCTTCATAATGAGAACATTATTAGTACATGCATCAACATTTGTACATACTTACTTTTTAATCTCATAAAATACGATTTGTTAACAGCTTAGTATGTAGTAATATAGTAATAAAAATAGCAACCAAATCTTTAACGAAATATTTCTCGTATATTGTGACAAAATTCTGATTGGTGTTCAGAAAAAAGAGTAAGAATATTATTAGGCTGGAAACTAAGCAAGTGCCGATTTTTGTTAGAAAATCATTATTTTGTGGAACTAAATGACTTTATTCTGAAATGCATTGTCTATTTTGAACTCAAACTTTGCATAACTCTTCTAGTTTTTATTAGCAGAATTATTATTACATTAACTGAAGCGATTTGATACCATCATGATCATTGTTTTTTTTGAAATTCAGTGAGTTTTGTAAAGATCGAAACTAAAAGATTTTATTAGCAGAATTATTATTGCATTAACTGAACCAGGTATAATTTGACACCATCATTTTTATTGATTTTTTTTAAAATTCAATGAGTTTTGTAAAGATCGAAACTATCAGTAGTCATATGGTTTGATTATGAGGTCAGGACTATATGATGTAAAGATGTGGCAAAACATCCCAACCAATATCCTAATATCTCCAATCATTTTTGCAATCTGTCTAAAGATATGTGATGCCAATAATGGAATAACTCACCGTTCTATTTGTATATTTAGGCCGTTTTTCTTCGACTTGTACGTCTAATTTTGTTAGTTGTTCAATGTAGACATCAGAATAGATCGTTTGGTTGGGTGGTAAGAGGAAAAGCAGATAATTTTTTTGTCATCAACTTCAACTGGACTGCCAGAGTATTTCTCATTTTTGAGTGAAAAATTACCGAAACGAAATTTGGCAAACTAATTTTGCGATTGCAATTTTTTTTGGCCTCGATACCATAAACTGCTCAAAACTTTTTGTGAGTTTATGATGCCTTTTTACCTTAGCAGAAATAAAAAAGCAAAATATGACAAAAAAAATCGTTTTGATTATCTATCTTTCAACGAACGTCAATCAAAAACTAAGCAATCGATCTGTTTCGCGAATGTTTAGCAAAAATTTTGACTACTTCATCAATAAACCATCTAAGATAAAAACCGCAATTACTTGGTTTCCAGCCTAATACACTAAATGAACAAATTGCTCAAGAGTTTTATTGTTTGAGATAAAAAGAATCAATTATGTGCTTGTGAATTGCATTGGGTCTATCAGTCAATTTCTGGATTGTTCGATTTTCCAGCACGGGCCACACGCACGTTGTACGGTATCATCTAGCAATAGACATAAAACTAAAAGTAACGATGAAAAAATCGCCCATTAAATTGACCGCAGAACACACATTTAAGAAACACAACCGATGCGGTTTAAGTGTCATCAGATCATAGAAACCTGTTTCATTAGTCGCCCGAGCACGCTTTGTTTTATAGGATGGCGGACTAATATTGATCTAACATCATATTATTTACCATTTAGACATCGCAGCTGGTGGGAAAACCGCAGAAGGAAAATATTCTAATTTTGATCAAACACCAAAACCAACTAGTGGTGTATGACATCGTACCTTAAGGCAAATTGCTGGAACTATGATTGAATGAATGAATGAATTAAACTACTAAAAATGTTTTAAACTTTGAAAAAATTATATTTTTAAAAAATTTTAAATTTCTGAAAAAAAATTACTTTTCTGGAGAAAAATGTTTTTTTTTAGTTTGAAATAGTTTGGAAATTTTGAAGGCCGTCTAACGGACAAACGATGTTACGAAACTCATAGAAATATAAACAAAATTGAAACACATCATTAAAACTTTTTTTACTAAATCTCCAAAACCGCTAGACTTGCCTTCCCAAACATTTAATCAGTTCTTCATCTTGTCAATATAAGTAAAATGTTTGTTGAATAATTCAACTTGAATTATTAAAATCGGCCGCTCCGTTCTCTTAAAAACTGAGTTACCGTTTTTGACACTTTTTGCCCTTCTTCGGAAAGGCTAGACTTGCCTTTGCCAAAAACTAATCAGCACGTCTCCTTATCAATACGAATCGAATGTTTTTTGAATTATTTAAGTGGGTTGATCGGTGTTCTCGAAATTGTCAATGAAAATTTGTATCCGCACACACACACATACATCTATGTTTTCTAAGGTATACCAAAATGTTCAGAAATCTCTGAAACTTTTTTCAGTACTACGATTTTGTTTTTACATATATTGAACGAGCAGCAAAAAAAAATTCTAATTTTGATCAAACACCAGTACCAAAAAAAATGAAATTGGCTATTTTTAAATAACTTAATAAGTTAACAATTTTAATCAAATATTTTTGAGCACTATTATTTTGCTTTTACACGATGATCCGACTAATATTAAAAAAATCCCTTTTGGCAAAAATTCTACTCGATTTATTCTGCTATAAATATTGCTAAATAATATATGTTTACAATATTATTTATTAATATTGCAATATAATTTATATAAATTATATTAAATAACATCAATACATCAACGAAAAGAACATAACTTTTAATTTTTAATTAAAATATAGTTTTTGTGCTACAAAATTGTCTGAACATGTTATTTTCCATGTTGCACGTATAATTATGAAAAATCTTGTAAATAAAAATTCGTTTTTTAATTATCTTGTTTGGATCTGAATGTTTTCATCTTTCTTTCAAGAGTATTTTCACTGTTTTGAATGGAACGTATGTAAAATCATTCTTGTGTGAAAGAAAAACTTTCCTTTTAGAGCCATTGCTTATTATAGTAGCATGTAAGTATAACAATATAATTACATTTTTGTTTTACTATATTTAATAGACAATTACTTTAACGTGCACTTAAATTCACATTAATAAAGTCATTATTAGATGTTAAACATTTTTTTAATTTTTTGTAGGTATATACATTATTTTTGTAATTTTACAGAAACGTTTTGTTCATTAAGTTTAATTATTTTGATCGGATCAACAGAGATATACTTCATATATCCTACTGCACTTTAAAATAGTGAAATAAATTTTAATCACTTGCAATTTTAGCTTTCAAGTCTTATGACACTTAAATCTTTGTACTTGCAAGAAATTAGCATTAATGTGTTAATTATTATGCAAGATGAATATATGTATGAAATAGTGCGTGATTTTTTGAAGTACTTATTTATTATAAAAACACGCATTAAATGCATTTAAATTTAAATTATGAATAATTTTTACACAAGTTAAGGCCGTTTTAATTATAATCATTATTTCTTACACATTATTACATCTTATTTTGGCTTTTAGTTATTTAAATCGTTTCTTTTTAATTCAACTCTCAAAAATTACACCATTTTGCTTCACGCGTTTTTATTATTATATATAATAATTTATAGATTTATATACATATGCATATATGTATTTGTATTTCCAGAAACTTGTGAATAATCATGTGCCATATGCATAATCATTTTTCACAACAATATATCATTTTTATTATCTTCTGATTTACAGTTAAATCTTACTTATATAAATATTGGTTTATCAGTTGATTATATTTATTGGACCACATAAGACGAACTAGCTTATAATGAGAGACTTTGTGGCAATATTACATAAAAATTTAGATTTCGATAATTGAGAATATGAAATGATGATGGAGATTGACGATTGATGGATTAAACCGTTATTGATAAACTCGTCTTTAAAAGGTCAGAATAGTCTAAACGATTTTATATCGAGCTTTTTGCTTAAATTATTACAATTGTTCAGTTACTTTTGTTATTTCAATTTGTTTGAAAATCATAGGTAACTAGTAAAATTCATAGTAACATCTACAAATCTACTATGTTTACAAACATTATTTGATAGTGATAATGATTTTTACTGGAAATAATGTATGAAACTATAATTTTTGCTATAAAAAACTTAAAATTCAAACATTTATATAATTATTATGTTTACAAAATCTATAGGACTGATTCTGCCGCATAACAGATGAATGTTATGGCAAGGCCGTGTTACGCTCCAACTTCCATAGATTATACTACTGAATCATACTGAATACTGTCAAAATGTCTTGTATTTGCTGTGGATTCAAGCGTTTTACACATAGACTGCAACGTCACCCGTATATTATGAACCTAAGTCAGAAAGACCCTGTTATCTAAAATCGTTTTTTATGACAACCTGACAAAATCGCATGACTTGTGTCAATATTTAGAACTAATTTGTATGGAAAGTTCTTCATAACATAGCCTTGCCATAATATTGATCTGTTATGCGGCAGAATTGGTCCCTATATTTAATTTATTAAGGCAATCGCAATGCACTGGATAGTAGTTCAAATTTTGGAAGCATTTCTTTATGCTAACCCCAATTTAGGAATTCTGGTTCCAATACTCGTTTCTCTATATCTTCTTGAAATCCCACAGCCTAAATAATTCATTTCTCATTCACCTGATATTTTTATCGTTTGTTTATGAAATAAAATTGAGTAAATTAAAATCCAACTGTCTGTTTATTCTCATCATGGGTGTCTCTTGCACACATATTAGCTTATGAATTTATGTCCTCGTTTACCTCATAGCCGGTGTTTCCGCCAATACAAATCAAAATTATGCGTCGCCTTTAGTGTGGCGATTATTGCCGGCAAAAATTAAACACTTTGATCAAGATTTATTTCCAAATGCGGTTTTTGAATAAAATTGGAATTGCTTTATGACGGATGAGAGGATAGTGATCAGATATTCAAAACCGCACATGGGGTACGAAAAAGTTCACACCGGATTTGATTATGGTGCTTTATATGGTTTATATATTATTTTATGTGAAAGGGTTTCCGGCTATGGTAATTTTTTGTTGTGTTTGTAAAGCAAAAGTAATGCTATAAATAACTGTATTTATATTCTTAACATAATTTACCTTATAATATTTGTTTTAATGTTATTAATACAATACAATATTCATTCATTAGGAATTTTAGTACATTTTTTAAAGAACGGGTTTTCGAAGTCAATCAATTTTGAAAATTTTAAGATTATAGTTGGACAAAAAGTCTTAATTCTTAAAAACTTAGCGCAATTGTGTCATTATTTTTGACTGTGGTTCTAAAAATGTTATTTACGATTTAGGTTTCAAAATTCAAATGAACAAAAATAATAAGATACTAGTGGGTTGCATGGCATCGTGCCTTAAGGCGAATTGCAGGAACTTCCCGTACCGTAATAAAAAATCTTGGTACAAAACCCAAAAAAAATTACACAAAATATTTATACATTATTAAAATCTCTATAAAATATCTAATAATTTGATGTACATATGTCCAATGAACATTTTTGACTGCCAAATGACATTTTTTTAACTTTTTTATTGAGAGTCCATAACCGCTGAAACTGCCTTCCCAAAATCAGTTATTAATCTTGTCAATACAAGTAAAATGTTTTTTGAATTATTAAAATCGGACGCTCCGTTCTCTTAAAAACTGAGTTACAGTTTTTGGCACTTTTTGCCCCGTATCTTCGGAATGGCTAATCTTGTCTTCGCCTAAAACTAATCAACACGTCTCCTTATCAATACGAATCGAATGTTTTTTGAATTATTGAAAATCGGTTGATCACCAAAGCCCTGGGTTTCATTTTTTTTTCTAGTTTTTCATGACGGTTACAATCAATATTCGCATGATTTTGAATTCTTGGTAGTCTATGTTTATGATGGAAATACGTAGATAAGATGGGAACCCCCCGATTTATGATCAGAACTAAATTTTATATGTGTATTTAAAAAAATAATATTTTTGTAATTTATTACAAAAAAGGCTTTTTATAGCATGTTTTTAGCACAGTTTTTTTTTTCATGTAAAAGTAAATATTTCGAATTACACGTTTTTTTATGGAGTCTATCTTCCGTATAGATAGGTGTAGGAGGATAGGTGTATTTTCCTAGTAACTGATTGAGGTGGCCAAAATGTTCTATCTTAAGAATAAAAATTATATATTATTTAATTATTTTCAGAGATTCATCAGCGATCTAATGGATAGAGCGAAGACTTTGTAACTTTTCATCGATCCGTCGTTCACAATTACTCGTTATCATTTCGCGTAGCGTTTAGTGCAACCGGAAAATTATGAAATCCGAAAGAACGGCAACTGGAAATCCGTTCTGGAAAACTCTTGCCAGCCACACACATCTAGAGATTAGTACCCTGTCTATGTTTTGTATAGATAATTAATTTTATTTAATTAAGATTATTTTAGGAATTTATTCAAGATGACGTACTCTATTCACACATTCTTGACATGTTTGACGTGATACATAATTTAGATGCTTATTGTTATAAACATTATCAATTTGATATCGGTACCAGAGAAAATACAATTGTAACGATTTTTTTATTTATTGGTGGTCACGTGTCAATCTTTGATTATGCGTGGCAATCTTATCTAATTATCAAGTACTTTGTCAATATGTACAACACTATTTTAATTTAATTTAAAACATTAAAATGTGTGAAACTTAAACAATTATTCGGTTTCAAAATATAGTATTCACCATCGATTATTTCGAGTTTTTCAAAGATGAATAATACCCAGTATTAAAAAATGGCTATGATATATTATAGCTTATATAATTGCAATAATACACGATTAACAATTTTGTATAATCGATATAATAAATGCTAAAAGTACCCAATGAAATTAAGCCCCTGATAGTAATTTATACTCTCTCATAGATAAAATAATACAGCTTTTATAACAATAAATTTTTCATAACAGTAATTTAGCAATAAAAAAGACGTGTTACAAAAATTTGTAAAATGTAGATGCTTTTATAATTTTTACAAGATTTTTAATCAAGATTGCTCGAATGAAATTTATACCGAATTTTATACTTACCAAAAATACACCAAGCTATGATGATTGTTAGATGTAAGTTTTGAATATTCCCTCTAGCTATAAAGTATCTATAAAGTAGAGACTTGATGATCCGAATATATATTAATCCAAAAACTTACAATTTTTTTAAAAAAAAGATGGTATCATCTGAGTCGAACTCGCGCTGCAACACATTTTTTTCTTCCTTTGCGTGATTATTTATTTAAAACTTTATTTGGTTTTCAATTCGGATTATCGAATGCTGTACTTCATATTTTGTTTATGATTTAAGATCTCTGTGTTTTTATTTTACAAGTTCACGATAAGTAATTATTAGTAATCATATATTAAAATTACTATTTCTCTTATATAATTATAATCAATTTTCTATAAGTTTATTATTATTTAACTATTCGACTAAATAATTTCATATCAATAATCGTGTACCTAATTGTAATATTTTAAACTGTATCTATTATAAAAATATCATGTAGAATAATTAGACTTATCATATCAAAATGGCCTATAAATGGCTATAAAATTAAAGCGAATATTTTTAGCTATAGAGGACGTTGCATTCGTCGAAAAACGATTTATTTTTGGGTTTGTGCAAATCATTTTAAATTAATTGATGTTTATAATCCAAATCGTATTCATCACATAAACATTTATTTAGGTTTATCATTTGGAGATACATGTTGCATAATATACATACTAATTTTTCATGGCAGCATAAATGCCTCTGTACTTAAAATTCAAGTTGACTTACTTACTCAATTAATTAATCTAATGTCTACATTGATTAATTAATCATAAAACAGATGTATTAATTAATGTAAATTTATGCCAAAGCTGTTACAGTCAATAATAGTTCTGAAATTATTGAGCATTTACAAATCGACAGCGGAATGTTTTTTATCTTAGTGTAGAAAAATATTAATTATTAAGTTTTGGTTTGATCAGTTTGGTGCTTTTTCATCATATGTATGTATGTGTATAGGTATACCTAATTATTTATGTATATATATACATATATAATATAGCGAATAAATATGCTTAGTGATAAAATACATTTATGGTGATATGTATAATATCCGTTAATATTAATTTTATTTTATTTAATATTAGTGATTTTTTATGATATTTGATGTGTTTGCTCAACTAGCGGTTTTTGATATATCATCATTTTGCTAAAGATAACTATTACGGATGTTTGGAATTTTCAAAATTTTACAGAGAGTTTACTTTTTTGACTTGCAAAATTATATTGGAATTAATAGAGTTTTCTTAGAGTAGGTGCTAAATTTTTAGGTATGCCTAATATTGATTTATAGAAATCATTTATTTATTCAAATTATGACCTTTACCCGAATTTGTAATAAATGTACTACAAACTAAAATAACGTGTTGTAATTTGTGTACGTAAACTATTTTTCGAAAGCTTACAGCATTTGTACCAAGTCAAAACAATATTATGTAAAATTTTGTAAAAATGCTTTTTAATGTTATCAACAGTATAAAGAGCAATTTTAATCATGTATACGTTTGTATATATATATATATATATATATATATATATATATATATACATGGAACGTTTATGTATTTAAAATTATTACCGCTAATAAGAAGGTGTATTGACAAATCACACAGAGCCTATAATAAATTATGAGATGACGTTATTATTGATATTTTATCAAATAGTGTCAAGTACAACGATTACTCAAGAAATTGACCCTACCCACAATTATAACACTGAAATACAATAATGTCATTATTTGCTTGAAAACGAGATTTATTTACATATAAATTCTACGACGACAACTTTCTTATATAATTCCTAAAATCGAAGCAGTAAAGTGCGTATTTCGCTTGCGTCAGAAGATTGCGAGAGACTTGAATTTAAATTAAAGTTTACAAAGCATTCAAAATTATGGGCTGCTCTATAATTTTTTCAAATGATAAGAGAATTTAATCGAACATTCATGATTTTTTAATGAGCAACTATTCACATGCATTTCATTATATTTTATTTCATTTAAACTTTAATAAATTAAAATAGAAATTAATCTATACAAATTAATCTATATTAATGTTTAAACTAACAATAAGCGGATTTAAAAAAAAATAAGATTATACTATTAGGCCACTTATTAAGTGCGGATTTTGTCTTTGAAAAATCAAAGATATTTTTTTAAGAAAATTTATGATGAAAATGCATTGTCCATTTTCAAAAAAATTCTAGTTTTTATATAAAACTGAAATATGAACAATTTGTCAATATCATTATATTTTTTTTTTAATTTGTGAAGATCGAAACGGAAAGTCATATGGTTTAAGATCAGAACTACATGGTGGATGTAATAATGAAATAAATCACCACTTCAATTTGCCAATTCAGATCCCACTTTTCAACTTTATTGTTTAGTTCTATTAGTTTAATGTAGACATCAGAAATGATTGTTTGATCAATTATTGATCGTATTATTGATAAGTTCAAAGTAGATGATTTCTTTTTGATCAACTTCAACTGGACGACATGAGCGTTTTACATCTTTGAGCGAAAAATCACCAGAAAGAAATTTGGCAAACCAATTTCGATACTTGTAAGCTTAAGATAAGAAGCCTTTTTACCTTTGCAGAAATAAAAAAGCAAAATAAGACTAAAATTTGATTTGATTTGCCATCTTTCAACGAACCCCAAACGAATTAAAAAAAAAATTCTTCATTGCAAGAATATAAATAATTATATTTTTGCATTATTTCTTTATATCAGAATATTAAGTAGAATCTTTTTCTTTTAATTTATACTTGTTTAAATTGTGAACTTGCATAAATAAAAATATTTTTTAATGCGGCTCTTACGTACTGTCAATATCTCCGAAATTAGAAATTGCTTCATAAATATTAAATAAATTTTGATTATAACATTCATAATATCAATTTTTCAAAAGGTGTTAGAAATATGCATATTTATGCTATATGATTCATAATTATCAAATCAATTTAGCAATAATATTTTCCATATAAACAAGTCAAGTGTTATTGTTCGTAATGATTCACTATTAATTTATTCAATATCTTCATTTTACAAAATTTACAGATTTAAGATTTATGATCAGTCTATGCTAATACAACGGCGAACAGCCTTCATACGCAACGCCAAGGACGCCAGTTCAATCCCCGATAAGCACACACTATTTGAGAAACTAGAATATATATATATATATATATATATATATATATATATATATATATATATATGCAAAAAATACCGGTATACGGATATGCTGAAAAATTAAACAAATACTTCCATCAAATGTATATTTGATTTAGATGACTTGCGGCACTTGTCACAGAGGAACCGGCAAGTATCAGAATTATACGCATGTGCGTTTGTCATAAATATTCATTTTACCAGATTTGCACAGAGTCGAAATTTGGATTTATTATTATTAGGTAGTTTGACACATTAAAAATTATTTAAAATAAATAAAAATGAGTAGATTATCATTGCCGTACTCAACTTGGTATCCTCCACTCTATTTCCCGATGTTGTAATAATTTTTGTTATATGGCGAAACTTATGATCTGGGTATGTCGGACTCAATAAAAAAACCAACCAAACCAATAATTCTTAAGGTGGCTTATTTGGACCCTCAGGGGTCCACGTAAGCGAAAAGAAATGTCGGGGTCTACGAAATGAAGATGGATCGGTGGTGGATCGCAATACATCATAATAATGTCATATGAATATTTATAAATGTTCCTAGCAAGTACAAAAATATTGTATATTTTTAATGATTTATTTATTTAAAAAAATCAATATCGTGTAAATACAGGGTCGAGAGCTCAAGGGAGTCACAACACGAGGGAGTTTTACCCTCGGAAACTACATAATATCAATTATTAATTGTAAATAAAAATTATTAAATTATTTTTTGTAATTGGTGCGAATGCTCATATGTTTATATTTATCATTGATTGAATATTTTTTATATCTCTTTATTAATTTATTTTTAATCTTTTACAGAATAGAACTAAGTAAACGCAATATTTTTAGGTCAGGCTGACCAAGATATTAGAAAGAATTGAACTCTATACTCCTGCGATTCTCTTAATTATAAGAATTCGGCTAGAGAGTTTAGTTAAAAAGATCGGTTAAAAACAGAACGATCTGTATCTAATATGAAATTACACAATCGATTGTACATGTTCTAACTTTGTCACATATCGATTATATTCTATTTGCAGGACTAAAGGTAATGCATGGAATATTTGTTAAATTTCTGAATGAATATTTGATGAATGTCATTGTAGCATTCGCGTCACGATATTTTTAATATTTGATATATTTGCTTAGTTGCGCGATTATAGTTCAGAATCTGAATCTAAATTATATCATTATATTACCTGATTTTCAGATATCATATTGATATGATTTATGATTACATAATTTTATTAAATGTTCAGTTTTTGATTTTACTTTTTGTTACATATATAATTGTTAACTATTTTTTCTCGACGTTATCATAATCTATAATCTTAATGATTCAGTATGTGTAAGATTGTTGCAATATTTTTATGCAAAATCATTTATGTTTTCTTTAACATATTTTTTCGCATTACTTTAAGTTGCGTTAAGCTACATGCTCTGTGATTTTTAAATGTGAGAACGCAATAATTGTAAGGAGTAAAAAAATATAGACAAACTTAAAAATCATAAAGGAAATGTTCAGTAATTACTAACTTAAGTTAACATGATGTATAATTAATTAGATGGATAATTGTTTGTACATTGCAGTTTTTTTATTTTTTATAGAAAGCAACTTTATGTGGGAATATAAAATAGATTTTTTGTATTACACATTCATCGGTTCTACTCTGGTACATAGCTTATTGTAAAATCATTAGTATAGCATTCAGAAATCTTCTAGTGCTTCGTCGTCTTGTAATCTATCACTGTTTGTGAATTCGCATATTAATAGAGTACACTAGTTCTTTACATACTAATTAGATTAAAATATAAATACTTTCAATAAGTTTTGTTTCTGCTTCTCGTGATCGCTCGATGTTCAAAAGATTAAGATTTATGTTTCAGATCTATTCTGAGAATTGCATGATTTTTTTTCTTTTCTTTTTATATATTTGCAATTATTTCATCTTAAAACATCTGCCATTTTTGGTAGTACTTAGAATGTCTCAATCGGATTCCAATCCATTGATTGAGCATTCGGGTGCGAATGATGTTCAATTAAATAAAAATATATTGCTATAATCTTATGATTGGGCTCGCCCGTAGGTAAGCGGTTAAGAGCGACGGGGCCTGAATCAGAGGTCCCGGGTTCGATACCCACTTCAGGGGTATCGTTGTCAGGCAGCAGTGACAACGATTTTCACTTGGAAATATAGATAGCAATATGTTTCCAAGTGAAAATAGCTCTTGCCCGGCATTGCTGCACCAATAAAAAGTCAGCCCTATTAGATTAATTCTAATAACAAAAATCATCAAATATAGAAGTTTCAGCCCAACAGCTCATAGGACGTAAGGTTCTGATTGCTGTTGAAAATATAATAAAAAATAAAAAAAAAACTTATGGTTATGTCTCTCCTACCTTGTGGTGGCGTGGCGTTCAGGTTAGTTCTGGTTTATCATCGACTATGATAACATAAATAAAAACAAATAAAATCGACTAATAATGATTGAAGTTGCCTATGTATGTTGCGCTCAAATGCGCGCGCATTCCTGTTATTTCTTCCACCTCGGCAAATATCGATCGGAACTCCGGTATCGTGGAGCATGCGATAGCATGGCCGCGCCGTGGATTCGAAGAAAACAAATCCGTTGACTTTTCACCGAAGTGCATTTTGACTTCAGATGTAACGAAAAACATCGCAATAAATATGTCGTCGGAGAAAACGGAGAAAATCTTATCAAGTGTTTTTTGGGGATTCTTCATCGTTGTCAACCTGTTGACACAGGCTACGTCAAGTTCTTCAGTTTGCACGGGAGCTTTCGATGTGCATACGGATAAAATAATAAGGACGGAAGAATCCACGGCTATGGGGGCTCAATTTGTCGATGAAACCGAGCTGTCGACAAGGGAGCAATGCTTGGAACTCTGTTGTGAAACAACTCGGTGTGATGTTTTTGTTTACGAAGAGAAGGTAAGAATAGACTATCATATTCATATTTATACCAAAATTTAGATAAGATATAATTTAGTACATTAATAAAAGGTGAACCACTGTGGTTTTCCTTTTAAAGTTCTATGTTATTTGTCAAACTAATTACTCAATGTCTTTCTATTTAGATTTGTAATTTATAGGAAAAAAAATCATTAATATTTTTCCCATAGAATTTTTTAATTAATAGGCGAGAAAATTTTCACTCTTTTCAATTAAACATTATGAAAAATTGCAAAAATTGATTGTACATTTTGTACTTTTTTATTCAACACTATTATTAACTGTATATAGCCATTCCCCATAAATCATCAATACCTAAGCGATCAGAAAGTGATTTTTTTGTGCAAATATTTTGGAAGTAGGGTAGAGCGGAGCTAGTTGAGCATAGGGGCAAGTTGAGCAATCGAAATATCTCGAAAACTATTCACCGTCCGTTTAGGCATTATATGGCGGAAAGATAGAGGTTTGGGAGAAATAAACATCTTGGGAGTGAGGCTCACTGGCGTTTTGTTTATTTTGAGACCAAAAAGTAAAAAAAGTCATTCATCACGAGTTTTCGGCTGGTTTAGTCAAATGTTATTTATTTTTAATCAGGTAAATGTTATTCTTTCATATAATTATAGTACTTTTAATATGCACAGAGATTCTGAGTATAATTCTCACGGTTTTTTTTATAAACTCACTTTTATTTTGAAATTCCGAGTTGGGTTTAGTTGAGCATAGTTGCTAAACTTGTTCTGTCATTAAGACAATTACCATTAACTTCCAGAAATTAATTATTATTTTTAAGATTTAAGCTAAGTCTATAAGTAATAATATAAAGAAATAATGATTTTAAACAAAAATACTGAATATAATGGTAAAATAATTCCTAAGATACGATATTGTTTTGTTGATTCTACTTTTCGTTAATTATTCAAAGCAAATTGCTATAAGTTTTGTTTTCTCTGTCAATAAAGACTATAAATATAGAACTGGTTATTAAAAACTTATTTTATTTCATCATTAATCGACATTGAACCTATGATTTCATTATACTTTTTTAGTGCTCAACTTGCCCCACCTATGGGGCATATTGAGCATACTTGACATTTTGCATTTAAACAGCTGTAGCTTTTAAATTTTACTTATTACCAAAAAATAGTATTAACACTTTTGTTAAGCGATAAACAACAAATCCATTAAGCCGTATAGCAATTTATTGATACTTTTCATTGAGGAGCTACATCCATTAAAGTGAAAATTTGCTCCACTAGCCCCGCTCTATCCTACATAAATCCGTCACCCAAAATTGGAAGAATATATTTTTCTTAAACATTTACTTCATTTACAAATCTCTCTATTATCCAAATTGTCAAATTCAATGATAACTGAGAACTTTTCCTCAATCTTAGAAATTTGGCGCCCTGATGGGCACCGGCCCCGACTGTCCCTACTGTAATCCACCGCAGCAAGCGATGCAATACGTCTCTTTTATTTCCAGAATCCTGGTTCATGTTATATGTTCCACTGTGGACCCCCAGACGATTTCAGATGTAAATTTTCACGACACGCCAACTACAGCAGCGCAGTATTAACGACTCCACGACAACAACTCAAACAGGAAGTACAAAGGCAACTTATGGCGGAAGCTGCACAACAAGCCAGTCAACGTCATATGTCACAACACGAACAGGAGTTGGCTAATCTTAGGTCTAGAATAGCATCAGTAAGGTAAATATAAGGTTGAAGTTATTTATTTTCATTTAGAGATGGGCTTATCATATCCGAAGCCGGATCGGTTAGGAGTTGACTCCACTTTAGAGAGGAGTTATATCCACTTAACAACTCCACAACTCCGGCAACTTTGAAACATAATACTTGGCACAAATGTGTTCTATAGTATTTTGTTAACATATCTAAGGATTTATTATGACTTTGGAAATAGTTTACGAATAGTTCAAACATTTTTGTTCATTTTATTATAATAAGTACTATTTAATGCATTTCAGTATGCATACAAATCTCAAATTGACAAAAAACTTGGGAATCAAAATCAATTTTGTAATTATTTTTGAAGAGAAAATATAGAGTTCTTTGAATATGTTTGTGTTTATATGAAAATAATGCAGTAAACCTTATATATGAAATAAGAACCAATCTTTGTTTATAAGATTTTTCACAAAATAATAATACCTCATATTTGTTTAATATTTCCTTTTCGAGAATTAATTATACATCAGGTAGTTTGATTAGCATACTATTACTTTTATACAATTATAAAGTAATAATTGTGTAAAAGTTATAATCAAATACTAAATATTTTTAGCTGATTGTATACCATTGAAAGAGCTCATGTACGGACAAACATTATTGTGTACAGAATATAGAATACAAAATAGCATTATTTTGAGACATCATACACCTGGAAAGTCCTAAAACTGGCTGTGAGACGAGAAAATAACCACATCTTTCGACCCAAATCTTTGTATTAGTAAAAAATCTCAAGCAAATATCTGCACATATTAACAGATTTAGTACCAGTTTAGGGAAATCGGACATCCTGTGAAACAACTCCACTCGGATTCACTCCGAGAGAGGAGTTGTATCGGAGTGAAAACTCCGAAGTGAGTTACGCATCTCTATTTTCATTGATATTTATTATCTTCCAGAAGAAGGAGTGTATTTTTTCGACAAGAAAGTAAGATTTGGTAATTTTGTTTTTTCAACGATTCAAGTCTTTGAGACCAATAATGGAAAAACTATGTGTGTGTGTTCCTGCACCAAAAACCTAAAAGCTATTTTATGTGGTTCAATAAGGACTCGTTGGTTAGTTTTTCGAGATATAATCTCTTCAGAGATCTCAATCTCAGAAAAGTCCAAATATTTTTGTAAACAACGATTTAGTGAATAGTTATAGCGTCAATCAACATTCTTAAATATTGCAGGCCCCTGAAAAGTGTTATGATTACAAAAATTTATTAAAATCTGAAATAATAGGCCTCGTCAAAATTTCAAAATTGTGTCGTTAAATATACTCTTGTATTGAATTTGTCGTATTGTAAAAGGCACAACAACTATTAATACGATTATAACACTAATTTACCCAAATCATAATGTTGTTCACTTATTCATTAATTTGTTACATATACCACTTTTACAAAGTTTTAATTTATAGAACTATAAAATAAAGTTTTTGTCAACTACTCTACTATACATATATTTATGAAAAGTAGCAAAATAATTTCTTATAAATTTATAAGAATACATTTAAATTCTAGTGAAAATCGACACGTGACTTCAAAGGCACCGATCGAAGAAAAAATCAACATTTCAACCACTGCACCATCAAGTAAGTACAAAACAAAAAGGTCCTCTTTCAACTTTACTATTGCCAGAACAGTCTAAAATTTAATAAATGATGATTATTACAATAGTTGGTAGTCATAGGATATTTATCTTTAAGCGCTTTTTGTACACCATGTTTTGCCCGATTTGTAAATTTGTAACAGTTGATTGGTATCGAAATATACGTCATAATTATATTTCTCAGAACCAATTCCCGCTGCAAAAAATGCAGCTCAACACTGCAGCGAATACCAATTTTCATGCCATTCGGGTGAATGCATAGCCGTGTATAACGCATGCGACGGCATTCCGCAATGCATCGACGGAAGCGACGAAGCCGCCGAACTGCGGTGTCCGCCTTTGCCTACTCCGATTCCACAGAATAGCGCACCGGTCCAGAGCCAACCCACTTTGCCGAAACCCATCTTACCAATCGTGCCATATGACAAGGTAATAATTAGCGAATGCAATACCGATGGAAACTTTCAATACCGGTATTTCGGTAATTTTTCATTTTAAAACCGGAATATCGGTAAATTACCGGTATTTTTTTAATCTTCAACAAACGTAAACAAAATTGAAAGTTACTAGTACAAATCTAAAAAAATCTATAAACAAATACAACCATATTCAACTAAACAATAAAAACAATAAAATAAACTAATAAGTTTATTTTTTTAATTAATAATTTAACAAAACTATATCCAATTTAATTAATTCATTATCACTATCGAGTATATTGAGTACTTTTCACCAAAAACAAACTTATGTGTAAGAAAGACCAAAAACTCATAAAAGATCATATTACATTATTATAATAAACGGTATTGTCTGAATCCGATGTGTTAAATTAGCATAATCTCCAATATTAAAAAAAAATTCTACACTAATTTAAGATTGGATACTTTGTCAAGATAAATAATAAGTTACTATGATTGTTGAATATTGTTATGAAAAACAATGTGATGCTTCTGTAGTATTTTCAAACTTAAAAACGTTTTCGAAAAATATTTTATAATTGTAATATGTAAGCAAAAATATTTAGTAATTATCATAATTATTATGTATAAAGAAAAAAATAAAGATTATACAGAGGTGATCTGTATGATATAAAATATTTTGGCGCAAATATCACTTAAAAAACCATTACATTTTTACATAAGATGAAACAAACATTATCTATCACTCCAATTCTTTTGTTGTAACACGATATGAAGCCCTTAGTAAAGCAATAAATATTAAGTTTAATGACGAGTTGAGATAATATTTGACATTTGTTTATCCTATAGAATCACTTGAAGATATAGCTGTTTATGCGATTATGGAATTTAAAGATAAATTTGTTCCGAGAAATTTAAACTTTAGTGTATTATGTATCAAATAGCGCTTATGTAAAGATATTTTTGGGGTAAATACCGGTAAAAATACCGCCAAAAAATCGGGCGGTTTACCGATAATTCGGTATACCGGTATACCGGTATTGCATTCCCTAGCTAATAATAAACTCAAATAGTATCAAATGAATGTTTCATAAGTTGTACGACGTCGAATATAAATTGCAATAATTCTTAAGGTTGTGATAGGAAAATATGACAAATATGGTTATAATAAATAACTTTAATAGTAATTTTAACGATAAATTATTATTTCGATAATTTTTCATAAATTAGCAATATGATATTTCCAGCCCCTAAGTAATGTATACAACCAAGGAGAATCTAATATCGCTGTCGTAAGTGATTTACAAGAAGGACATGTTGCGCACTCGAATTGGATACCTCATTCATCAAACGATCATCCATACGGTATAAATAATAAAAGTATTTATAAATATCTTAAATTTATATTATGATTACTCTTTTATCCTCAGATATTGATGGTAGAGCCTTTAATCATCAGAATAGTTTTCAGTCGATAGCTTCCCAGTATGTGGACCCTCAAACAGACAAAGTTCGGCAAAATCTCGCTTACAGAGAACCTTCCGAGGTTTATCGAAATCATCCTGGCGGAGGTGGAGTGGATGTGTGGCAACTAGGTGATTTTTTTAAATGACATATAAAACTTAATAAAGTTAAATTATTGTTTATAAATTTTAATATATGTATGATTTTATTAAGCATTTTATTTATTATAACTTTTAATTTTTTTGATTTTAGAGCATTTGCAACAAAAACAAGTAGGACAACAGAACCCATGGTTAGCTAACAGACAACAGTCTATCCTTATTCCCACTCTAAATGACCTGCCGAAACAAAACCAACCACCACAATGGCATCAAGAGTGGATCCAGCAAAATGGACAGGTGCCTATACCACTGGATGTAACTGCACATATAACTGGTAAAAAGGTAAATCCTTATAGTTCTTACATGTGTTTCTTTTTTAGTTGGGTTGTGTATGCTATATGTGGATTCACATAGTATATAATACAATTATAAATATTTTTAAATTCATATTTAAGGAACCACATTTAATTGCTAGTCCAGATAGATCTGAAGCCAAAACAACAGAATCAAAGCATATGCCACATAAACATGAAGAAAATAAGGAAGAATATGTAGATATAGAAGAACAACAAAAACAACCCAAAAAAGTCGAAAGCATACATAAAATTACGCCAGCTTCTCATGACCATGAAGATTCTGATAAGAAGGGTTCCAATCCAGAGCAATCACCATGGGCTGATGAGCTAGGTGGTGAAGCAGAAAGACCTGGAGGAGCAGTATTATCATTGACTTTAGGTAAGAAAATGCGCAAACTTATTGAATTTATAAATAAAATTAATTACAAAGGTATTAGAGTCAATCAATAAATGCACTTATATAAATATCTGATTATTGTTAATGATAATTTTAGGTGTATGTATAACTGCTGCATTAGCTGTTCTAATTGGTTGTAGACTTAGATTAGTCAAAAGAAGAGTTCGAAGACATGGAAAATCAGCACATGCTCATGATCCAGATTATCTTGTTAATGGGATGTATTTATAAAATCCCAAAAAGCCTATGTAAGAATTGTTAAGAGTACTGTATCATTTTATATTCTAAATTATTTTAATTTGTTGATCTAGTAAATAAAATTATTAATTAACACTATACCATATCATTTTCAACAATTTATTACAGAACTTTTTTACATTTATTTTAATGTATTATGATTCTTTATAATACAATATATACATAAATTTTATATATTATCGAATTTCTAAAATCTACCACTCCTTTTCCTTCCTGTATATTTTGAATCCATTCGTGTTGGTTTACCTTGTCTACGTCTCCTTTCCTTTTTTTCTAAGATCCATTCTCTTGACTTTTTCACTGGTTTACCTCTCATTTTGCGTAATTGTTCTTGTTTTCTTCTAGCATAAGATACACAATTAGAATCACCATTTTCTTCGGTTCCTAATGCTTGTGGCATAGACATTGAACCGCCAGTCATGAGCACTAAAAAGTATTTTTTTGCTTTTGAAGAATTTGGGTAATCTACTAATAAACCGCCATAGAAACCAGCCTGTAGTGCAATAGAAATTATATATTAGTGATTTTATCAAATTTTAATTTAATGAAGAAATAATTACTTTCATGGCCTGTGTTGTCAATAATTCAACTTGATTTGCATTTTCAGGATAAAATTGAAATACAGCCCTAGCCTGCCTTGTTAAACATGCATATAGAGATTCAAAAAATCTGCAAAACATTATAATTAGTATCTACTTCAGTAAAAATCTACTTCAATTTGAAGTATTACTTTTTGAGCCTTTGTGCAGGATTATGACTTTTATGGTCTGCATTACATAGCCACTGAAGAGCAGATATTGAAACAGCACCATCAAAAGATCCTGCTCTAAATGGACATCCTTGCCCCATGTCAGAAAGCAAAACATCACCACATTCCAATTCACGCTCTACAGCAATATCTATAAAAGAAATCATTTTCAAACTTTCAACTACAAAGATTTTAAAGAAAAAGAATCCTACCTAACATAGCAGGTGCAATATCCATTCCTACCCAAATGTGGCCTTGCTCTTCAAGTACTTCTCCAGATAATCCAGATCCACAACCTATGTCTAATAATAAGCATGGTTCATCATCGGGCAATGTCAATAATTCTATAGCTCGCTCTGACATTTGAGTCTGAATTTCAATAATTCTGGAACTATTAAAAGAATTATTATTATAATAATTATAAATCAGTAAAAATATAGCAATTAACTATGTCAAGTGAGAAAGGGATAGAGAGTATGAAAATATATTGACACTATTCCTAGGACTTACTTTTGTGTATATTTCTTTGCCTCTTCTTCATTGTAGTACTGTAAGTAAAAATATAAATATTATAATGACACAAATCAATCATTTTATGCTAAATTTTAAATTAAATAAAATTTTCAAGCAAATGAGAACTCAATTATACTTACTACTTCTGGAGGTGCCAAATGTTCTGGACGTTTAGACATATTTATTCATATAATAAATAAGATAATAAATTATTAATAATTTTATTTAATTAAGTTTTAAACAAATATTAAATGTTTACTATTAAATGTCAAAACAACGTGCTTTTCAATATTTTTAGGTTAAGAAGAGTACCAACATAAAAAAATATTGACAGCTGGCACGTGCTAAGCTTCTATACAGATAGTTTTAGGTTATGTGTACTAATAAAACATAAATATATTTATTATTTATTGTATGGAATGGTTTAAAGAAATTTAACTGTTCAAAATGAATAATTTTGAAACCACTCCTGGGTTTTGCTCCGACTGTGGATCTATATTACCTTTATTGAAAAATTCTGGGAAAGTGACTTGTTATTTATGCAATCGGCAATATGGTTTAGAAGGCTAGTATTTCAATAAATAATGCTTTAAAATGTTTTGTCAAAATAATGATAGTTATGGTTTGTACTTGTCAAATTTTAGCTTTTGGTAATATGGAACTTTTCATGAATATCGAATTTAATTCATCTGATACTTACACTGGTTCAAAATCAAAAAAAGAGAGAAAAGCAAAAATTACTGAAAAAGAATCAGAAGGTCCTGTCATAGAAAGACGATGTCCAAAATGTGGCAATGATAAAATGTCTTATGCAACCTTACAGTTACGGTCAGCAGACGAGGGTCAAACTGTATTTTATACATGCACTAATTGCAAGTAAGTATAATTTTTATACAAAATATTATGTTTTGCTTATTACTTCATATATAACTGATTGTTTAATTTTTAAATATAATTGTGATATTATTAGATCAGATTACTTACAGTCAAAATAATTTTATTTTTTACATATTTTCAATTGAATCTTTTTGTTCCAGATATAAAGAAACTGAAAATTCTTAAACGACTGATAGGCAATTTATGGTTTTGAGGAATACTTAGATTTATGAGCGTCAGATATAGATAATACTTAACTTGTTAAGCTAATTGTTTGATAAAATTCATTGATTTTAGTAATAAAAAAAACATAAACTTGGATGGTATTGTATGCTATATGTACTTCGCGTCATCTCACTTTATTGAATTAAAATTTTAAATAATGTTGTTTATATTATCAATAAGAATCTGTTATCTCTTTTTTATTATTTTTCTTGTTGGTTTTCTTGTCTTGGCTTGATGTAGTTGCTGCCAATTTTTTATTTTATCAAGCGTTCTTTATTGTATTTATATTTTGATTTTTAAAGATTATTAACTCAATTTAATTTCATATTGTAAAATCATATAAATCTAAAATATCTAAATTTATATTATATGTTAAAATAATTTATGTGATAGAAAGGTTCATTTAAATAAGGTGATAAGAAAAAAATGTATATATTTTTGAGAAATATTTCAGTGATTAGTTAAATTTAATGTCGCCTTTAATTAAATTTAACGTCGCCAAAGTTACAGATATTAAATATTGATTATTAAATAAATGTGCTGACCATAGTCGGTATGCATATGCATACTACCTTAATGCAATATGAGAATATAATTAGTGGTCTTATGCGAATATTTTTTATACCGGAATGCTAAAATTAAAAGACTGGTTGAAAAACAGGTTCTCATATTTGTTTTGGTTCGGTTCGACTAAGGGTGAAGTTAAAAAAACTGCAAAGATGAGAATTTTCAAGCAATGCACATTTCAGATGAAATTCTGTTCTGTTTTTTGTAAATACCGTGGAGTATGGAAACCGTGTACCTCCGTGGGTGCCGTGTAAAGCGAGGGTCTACTTTACTCATAATTTCAAATTTGTTATTAATTTCGTTGAAAGGTTGGCAACCTTATATTTAACGTGCGCCCTCGGCCTAACAGTAAACACGTGAAGATGTCTGTCGTTAGTTTTGACAGTTGTGTTATAACCTATACTCACCTATACGTTTCTATAAACTCTGAATATTATTATTACAATTACAAGGATTATACATGGCTGAAGCGAACGTTGTTGAGTTGAAGGAAAAAATAATTGATTTCGTTTCAAAACATGAGTGTATATATGATAGGTATCATATGCACTATAGAAATAGATTTATAAATGATCCTTTATGGAACAAAATATCTTCTGAATTGAATATTAGTAGTAAGTACCACAATTATTAAATAACAATTGACAAAATTCTAACAAGTTTTCTTAAATTTAAGCCATGGCTGCAAGACAATACTGGAGAACTCTGAGAAGGGGTTACATCAATTACAGGAGAGCTCGAAAACAGAACTTACATATAGGAAAATATCCGTGGGCTGCTCATTTATCATTTCTAGATAAGACTTTAGATAGCATAGAACAGTTTAATGATTGTGCCAAAAAGCAAATATATTCAGATGTAGTTGATTCCTTAATAACATCGTCCCAAACAGAACAAATCACACATACTACAAAACCTAGTTCCAAGCCAAATATAAATCACTCCAATACTTTTGATGAAATGTCAGATTTTTTCAAAGGAGTTGAATTGAATCATGAAGAAGTTATGAATAAACTTAGGAATAGTAACACACAAAAATTAGATAGTGTTGATTATTTATTTCTTAGTTATGCTCAAACTTTCAAGCAATTTTCCTTGGAAAGACAAGCTACTCTCAAAGTAGATCTCGCTACATTATTTTCAGAAGCAGAATTATATGAAATAGATGAATCTAATAATGATTTGGAACTAGATGATCAGTTTGAAGTCATAGAAAATTAGACTCAGGTAATTAAGTAAGCTAAATTCTTTTTTTAAAATAGTTTAAATTAAGATTATTATTAGAACTTTTTAATTTATTTTCTCCTGGTATTTCTTTTTATTTAACTATATAAATGTAATTTGTAAATAATTATTCAAATGTTTTAGACAACAATGAATACAAAATAAATTTAGATATTTATAAATCATTTGTTCCATATTTTCTACTTACAGTAAAATAATAAATTATTTATCAACTTGTCGCATCACTGTAAATGCACTGTAAGCACCTCTTAATATCTGAAAAATATTTTAATGAAAACATACGTTCATAAAATAATTAGAATATCATGGGACATACTGTAATAAATGCTCGAAGATTCATTGGGTAAAAGCCGGCTTGAAAAACAAGTGGCTTCAGGCTTCGGGCCATTAGCAGACGCAATGCATTCTTAATTCTTTTGCTGCTATTTATCCATGGGGATTCAAATGCAGCTTGACACATATTAAGACTCTAGAATTAAATTTAATAAATAGAAATTTATACTTTAAATATTTGATTGATATACTTAACTACAGACATTAATTAAGAAAGTTGAAAGCAGTAACACAAATTAATCATTATTAATAATAATTATTAATTTTCATATTAATAAATAACATAATTAGAAAAAAGTTGAGTTGTGCTTTGGAAAAAATTGAATAGTACTTCATGAGCAGAGTAAATTTACATTGAAGGTGTTTGAAAACAAATCAGTTACTGGAATTTTACAAATTGTGTGGTTTCCAATATTGTTATTATATTTATTTTTTAAAATTATGAGGAATGTACTTAATAATAACTATTAGTAAGGTTTTTATTTTAATACTTTACCTCTATTGATAGTTCATTAGAATGCCAATAATACATTAGTAATATAGTGCAAGCACTTCCGATGTATCCACAAATTATAACGAGTTCAAAACCATCTGAAGGAACCTAAATAATAAATAAACATACAAGAATTAAATCATTAGTTCAGTACGTAAAAAAAAACTATGTATGTTTTCTTACTGATGATAACTGGAACAGTTGCAGACAGATCAGAGCAGAGAACATTAAAAAATCTAAAGCCATTGGCATTGCAAGCACGTTGCTTAAATCTTCAACATACCTGAATTAAAATTGAAAATACATATGAAAATGGATAAAATTGATTTTATACTATACTAAAGAAAAATAATAAATTTAAATTTGGTAGGTTTTTAATGTCCTTAGACTACTCGAGACGTTGTGCGTTTTTTATGGTATGAATACATTAAGGAAATCAACATGCTTTTACAGAAGATATTTCTTATAATTATATTTATGATAAATGGGAATTAGAACTGTTTTTATAGAAATATGTTTTAAATAAATGCTAAAGTAACATAACAGACATCGTACATACTTTATTATTATTAAGTGATCTTTCACACAATGTACCACAAATCTATACATCTCTTCTTCAGAAATATCTTTATATTTTTCAACTTCTTCCTTTGTTTCTGCCTCATATTTTGATCTTTCAACAAATTCTTGTGGATTTTTCAGCCTGTATTGCAATATGCGAATCATTGCACACGGGTATATCAGAAGGCAAGCCAAAAGTGTGTTCCAAAATGAATCGAACATAATTTCTAAATAAGCTATCACTTGGTAGAATAAATAAGTCGCAATTGTATGCTCATGTGTTTTGTATGGCAACCAGGAATCTATCGCTAAAGGGTGGATTTCCTCACCGGGTCTGAAAAATATCGGTTATATTTAAGAAACTATAAATCATATTAGTTGTAAGTGGCGTTTCGCCTCGATGCAAGTCACATGAACTTGCCGATATAAGTAAATAATCGACTTTATCAATATAAATCGAGATTTAGTTGAATTTTCCAAATATTTTGTCGAAAATGAAGTTTTTTTGCCTGAAAACTAATTATTGCGATTTCTATTTGATATCTTCAGACTGGTTTAAAATATCTGCATTGTATTAATTATACAACTCTAATACACGCTTAGAACATATACGGCGGTGTACGTCCTGAAAGTGCGGTCTATTATTACAAACTTCAATTAATTAATTTTTAATTCAACAATTTTTTTTAGGACTATGATATTTTAGATGTTAGTGATGCACACACGGCATCAAATAACCGACAATAACCGCTGAAATTGTTACACAAATAAAAATAAACGTTTGTATCGTAAATTTGGATTTATATAATTCAAAAAATTATATTCACCTATGGTTTGGATTAATTAAATGACAAAAATGAAATAAATTACTTACACTGCTGCTATGATGAAGGTGTAGAAAATATAGGCGGAAAATATGAAGAGAGTTATAGTCGTAAACACAAAAATTGTTGCAGTAACTTTATAAGAATGCCAGACATATTTATTTAATATCTTATTCACTTCATCGTTTCCACTTTTTTCAATTCTTTTCATGGATTCATGCATATCCGTCATGAGTCTAAAATACACTTTATTGTGCCAAATAAAAGTGGCCCCTTTTGCAACAAGGGTTGTGTTTAATACTGCCGTGCCGCAATTTAAAGAAATTAAATTCACGTCTTTTATATTGAAGAAAACAAACATATATTGGGTAATATTAAAAATGAAAAGATAAAAAACACTAAAAATTCCTTTGCAATATTCATAACGCAAGTATCTTTGATCATCAAAGTATACAAGACCAATCTGATTTAGTGCCATCAGATTGAACTTTAGCATACGGTTTTTTCGAATATCGTGATCCATTTTAATTTCATACAAATTACAATTATGTTCAAAGTTCAAAATATTTTCGAATAGTTTGAAGTATATATTTCTCGATTTTCTGTAAGTGAAGTAGTACGAGAAACTAAATCACGAGAATTTGGTGCAAGGAATTTGGTTGGGTGAAAGTATATATCATAAAAAATTCAAAAACGTGTCAAAGACTATTTTACGTGTCCAATTAAATTTTTATGTACAATCAACAAAGATACAAATTACTATGGTTAAAAATGCTTTGTTGTGAATATTGTATTTCTTTTTGTATCTATATAACAGCTAATTATCGTATAATGTTTATTATTTAGGCCTATTCACAGTTTCTTAAATTGTAATGTAAGGATACATATCTATGAAATCTTACTATTATTTTTCTTTTTTATAAATTATTGAAATCTGTTATCAGCACCTTCTTTGATTTCATCTTTTTAGGTATCAGTAACATTGAATTAATTAATTAATCTTTAACAATTATTACTATTTATCAAATTGACGCATGACTGTGAATGCACTGTAAGCCGCTCGCAATATCTATAAAATTTGATTATGAATTAATTACTTAGGCTATTTAAAATAAATGGATAAAATGTAAAAAATATACCATTATGAATGCACTCAGATTCATAGGATAAAATCCAGCACGAAAAACGAGTGGTTTTTGGCATCTAACCATAATTAATCGCAATGCATCTTTTACTCGTTTGCTGGTATTTACCCATGAAGATTCATAAGCTGCCTGACACAAATTAGTACTCTGAAACATTGCATTTTATTTTATAAATTATGTTAATATCTTCTACTTCTGAAATATTTTACCTCTAACGAAATTTCATTCGAATGCCAATAATACATCAATAAAATTGTACACGAGCTTGCAATGTACCCGTAAACAACAATAAGTTCTATTGCACCAGTTGGAACCTGGAAATGTTATAATGTTATACAAACAATTATTAGTGAAATTCAATGACATCGACAGAAGAAACTAACTGATGACAGTTGGAATAGTTGAGAACAGATCAAAACTGTGAACACAATAAAATCTAATGCCATTGGAATTACTAATATATCTCTCAAGTCGTTCACAAATCTGAAAAAAAAAGGATTTAGAGAATATCAATCACCGAATTTCTAGGCATCATTGTACATACTCGATAATAAGCAAATGATCCTTGACGCAGTTTAAAACATATTTGTACAAAGCTGGTTCTGGTATGCCATCATCTTGCTCTCCTGGTTTTTTAATAGCTACGAATTCTTCCGGATGACTTAATTTATAATTAAGAATACGAAGAGCAGCACATGCAAAAATTAAAATCGCTGCGAGTAAAGTATTCCAAAAAGAATCAAACATTATAACTAAATAAACAATCCACTGCACCATCAAATAAGCTATGACGTTATGTTCATCAGATCTGAATGGGAACCAGGAATCTATCGCCAATGGGTGGATAGTCACACCAGGTCTAAAATTTGAAAATAATAAATCAATGAAATTATGAAGAGTATATAATAAATAAAATATGAATATGTATAAATTACACTGATTCCACCAGAAATGTGTAGAAAAGATATGCAGAAAATATTATCAGGGATATCGTGGTGAAAACGAAGATTGCAACAGCTACTTCATAACAATGGAATACGTGTTTATCAAGAATTCGCTTTAATTGATCATGTTTACTATTTTCTACAAATTTCATTGCATTATGCATATCTGTCATCAATTTGAAATACTTTTTATTATGCCATATAAAAGTAGCGCCTTTCACAATCAGAGAAGAATAAAGCAAAGACGTAGCTAGATTCAAAGAAATCAAACTCACGTCATGGATATTTATGAAGACAAACATGTATTCGGTTATATTGAAAATAACAAATGAAAATACGCAAAAGACACCTTTCCAATATTCAAATTTAGGAAATCTTTGGTCATCGAAATATACCAAACCGATTTGATTCAGTGCCATAATGTTGAACTTAAGAAGACGATTTTTGCGAATGTCTCGATCCATATTGATGAAATTGGCTAAAATTCTTATAAATGGGACAAGATTTCTTTCTGCAAACGTGTGCTACTATTTTTTAAGTGTTGCACATTATTTATATTATAGCAAAATAAAAATAATATTCATAGCATTATAACAAAATTTTATTCCATAATGTTCTTGAATATGTTATTCAATATCATTTAGATGTAGCAATTTAATTTAAAAATAAAACACCATAATTTGAAAAAAAAATACGTAGAAGGTAAATTTTAATCGCGTTCTTATCTTTTTTCTTGTTTATTCAAAATTTACAGCTTTATTAAAAGATAGGCTCAAGTATAACTCGAATAACGATGAGTTGACTTTAAGAACTAACGCAGCGGTTTTGGTTAATCCATTAAAAGAAATACCATTTATAATCTGGTTTTGAGAAGCTTCTAAAGCCAGGCCATAAAAAATTAAAGCAATCAAAATATTTCCATAGAAGGGTTCAATTAAGCATGATTACGCTAAACGATACAAACGCTGCAATTTGCATATCTGAAAAGGTATTACAGGATATATTTTTATAACATGTAACAATTAAATTAAGCAATTAGCTCTTCATTTCTTGATATGTTTTATTTTTGTAAAAATCTTCATAGAAAATATTTTTTTTAGTAAGAAATGTTAATCCTAACTATCATAGACTAAATTACTTAAACATTAATTACGCCAAAATATTCGTTTGTGGCTTATCGCACTTTTAATTATTTTTGATGACGACATATGGCAAACATATAAAAATTTCATTATCGCACATGCTTAAAAATATTTATTTAAATAATGCAGAACGTAATATCTTGTAAAAATTCGTATTACGTATCTAATTTAAATATTATATCAGTATTGATCAAATTTTTATTTCGGTTAAAAGTAAACAAAATGTCGTGTTTGCGAATTTTGATCATGTCAGATGACTAATTAATAAATTAATAATGATGTATTTTACATATACATATATAGAACAATGCATTCCAATAAGAAAATAAAATTTCAATTTTGAAAATACACTCAAAGTAATACATTTTATCTTCTTCAATACTATTATTTACTGAACTACAGTAATCACTTACAGTAATTCACTTTATTTATAAATGAGATTTTTTTTTAATTTATTCCTAACAAAACTATTCTAATTAGATACTTATACCATCTCTTACTCCTATAAGATATTCTTATTAAGAACTACAATAAGAAATATGAGAAGAATATAAGATATCAACTGATATTTAAAATAGCATAAATAGTCTTTTTGTTAGAAATGAGTGATACATTTTTTATTTATTAAACTAATCTTTGGCAGAAGGAAATGATATTTATTTCGAAATATATATTATTTTCATTACGCAAAATAAATAATTTTTATAAATTTATATATATATATATATATATATATATAAATATATATATTAAAATATTATAAATGTATATATTATAATTTTGTCTAAAATACATATAAGCCCTATTGTTTCGCTTTACCCTATCAATTTATGGATTGATCAATTTATCACAGAAATTAGAAAAATGAAAACAATATAAAGATTTAATAAGCGTCTTGTGTCTTTAAACAATTAATTGCTAGATGTAGTAAAATAATTACAGTCTTTCAATTTCAACCCTTTTCTTTTAATGACATAATTGCATACTATTTTTTGTAATAGAAGAATATGAAACATCCTCGATAGTTACTTATAAAAAAAATGCTGTTTTAATTATTGAAGACCTTTTTATATGGGTTATATGACTACATATTGTGCCATAGAAAATAAACAATATCCATGAATAGTTATTGCAGTTCAAAATATTATTAAATAGTTTTTAACTTCCCAATAAATAATGTTACCCGAAACTTCAAAGATACTTAAGTCTAGCTGTTGTTTTATAATATTTCAAATTGAAATATATAGGTTGATTATTTTATAATAATAATAGTAAATAGTAATTGCTGTTTAAACAACCTGCTCAATTATTACCTCTGAAACCATTAATGAGTTTTTGAAATCAGTTCAGAACGAATTCTGGGATCTATGTAAAATTCGGGTACCTTTCTGTTATCTGTTAGATCTGTTATTATATGACAATCATACTTTTATGTTAATTAATTGTATAATTGTTTTATCTATAGTAATTGTACAAATTTAAATATGTATACTATACAATACAATATATAATACAAAACAATACATTATAATACAATATGTATGTATACTATACTATACAATTGTAATCGATTCAACGTAACAAGAATACTTACTTATACAAGAACTTTCAGTATTCTGAAGTATCTTTCAAAAGTCAGTTTTTGAATACTGAAAATTCTTGTTACGTTGAATCGAGATAGGTGTTTTTTATTAAATTAATAAGGAAAATTGTTCACCTTGAATTAAAAATACTTATAGAAAGCATTCAAAAACCAGTTTAATCGGTTACACTTATGTCAATATTTTATGTACTTATTTGAACAGATCATGTCATAACCAAAATAACATTATGGTAGCCATGTACATATTAAATACATATTTTTCCAAATTCTTATAATAATTCACAAAAGCTCAATAAAATAAGAATCCTATTAAAGATAAAATACCTAAAAACTGTATTTTTAATATTTTAAGGAACGAATGAATTTAAATTTAATTATTTAAATTGTGCATATAATTGATCATTATTACTATAGATTAAGCTTTTCAACCGCATCTCCATTTTCATATACTTTTTCTTTTGAAATTCGATCTTTATAGATATGTTATATAATAAGTATATGATATATTATTCTTTTTTACATCATTCTATGATTACAGTGAATATTACAAGGATCAGAAAGTACAAATCAATTAATAATCAAAAAACATTTTTTTGTTTAATCATTATTTACTTAAGGTTACTAAATTTTGCAAGCATTGTTCTTTATCGCAAATTTTGTTAATGAAAAAAATAAATTATAAAAAGTATATTGACATGTAGATAAATTCTTATCAATTTGTATTATTTGCTTGATTCACGTTTTGCAAATAATGAAATTTATATAAAAGACGGTAAATTTGAATTTCTTCAGCAGTAGATTAAGTAGCAATTGCTGCCAATTTACACCGCAATTTTTAACCATGAAAGTTTTTGTAGGAGTCCTTGCAGCTTTAACTGTTTTGGCTACAGCCAATGCATCCACTGGTGAGATTTTGATAAAAAAAAACTAAGTGAAAATAAGTTTCTGATTACCTATAATCTATTAACCTATAAAAAATATTGTTCTATTTTTTATACCGATTTATTTATTTATTGCTTTTAGTGATACAAATTAAATTTTTTGACTATAAAGTGTAATAAATTGTTCAAATTTAAATATTCAAACTGAAGTTTATTTTTATTCAGTGATGGTTTTATTTTTTTTTTCAGATAAAGTCGTATGTTACTTTGGAAGCTGGGCCAACTACAGACCAGGAAATGGAAAATTTTTTGTTGACGACATTGATCCATTTTTATGCACCCACGTTATTTACACTTTTGTAGGATTATCAGCTGATGGAAGTGTTCGCATTTTAGATCCAAATAATGAAATCAACAACGGTAAGATCAATGAAAATTAAATTGTAATGAATATGTGATTCTAATACGATTAACACAAAAGTTTTTTTTTCAAGTATTATATTTTTATATAACGCTTACACAGTTTTTCGTACGTTTTTTGCAATTGCAGGAGGGTTGCGTAAACTAAAAGAATTGAAAAATATTAACCCGAAAGTCCAAATTTCTGTAGCAATTGGAGGTTGGAATGAAGGATCAGCTACTTACTCCAATGTGAGTATATAAAATGATTAATTGCTATATTTTTGAAACCTGTTGAATATTTGACACCTATTTATAACTATTTACAGGTTGCTGCTAACGATGCTCTTCGTGCCAATCTAGTCAACAGCATAGTTGCCTTCACAAAAGAACATGGACTAGATGGTTTTGATATTGATTGGGAATATCCTGCCCAAAGAGGAGGTGCAATAGCTGATAAGGTGATAAACACATTTTAGAAAAAAATATTGCATAATTTATGAATTACCTTATTAAACTTTGATCGTGTTTTTGTTTCTAGGCTAACTATATCAAGTTATTAAAAGAATTGCGTGCCAGATTTGATGCCGAAGGGTGGTTCTTATCAGCCGCTGTTGCTGCCCCAGAATCCTACATCGCATCCTCATATGATGTACCTCAAATGTCTAAGTAATATTACTATAGTGCCTAATACACAGTCATAATACAATTAGCTTCTTAATCATCATTGATTAATTTTAAACCTTCATTTGCAGATACTTAGATTTCATCAACATTATGGCCTATGATATGCACGGTCCTTGGGACGGCCGTACTGGACAAAACGCACCTCTGCTTCCTTCATCCAAAGATATCTCTTTTGATAATAGACAACTTAATGTTGTAAGTATTTTTTCTGAAAATCATTATTCCGATTTGTATATTTTTTTCTTCAAATGTTTCAAAATTGTATATTCATTATTAACTGGTTTACCAATATTTAGCAAGCCGCCATTCAAGGATGGATCAATGCTGGTGCAATCAAGAGCAAAATAGTTTTGGGTGTTCCATTATACGGAAAGACGTTCACACTTTCCAACCCTTCTGATAATGGTCTCTATGCAAAATCTACAACTGCTGGACAGGCTGGTCCTTTCACTCAAGAAAGTGGCATGCTTGGCTACAACGAAGTAAATTAAATATTTTAATTACCATTTTAATCAATAAATTAATTGTTTAAGACCTAGTTATTTTTTCCATAGATTTGCCAATATGAAAATTCTCCTGAATGGACCATCATCTGGGATGATGAGCAAAAAGTACCATATATGCACAAAGACAACCAATGGATTAGCTACGATAATCCTGAATCAATTGCATTGAAGGTGAAGCAAAACTAACGCATTAAAATTAGAACTATAAATTTTAAAGCAATATTTTAATATCTGTTTCATTTTTCAGGCTCAATTCGCTAAAGAAACTGGACTGGGTGGAGTTATGGTTTGGAGCATTGAAACCGATGATTTCCGTGGATTGTGCGAAGGCGGAAAATATCCACTTCTAACATCTATCAACTCCGTCGTTTTCGGTGGAAAAGCACCCGTAAGTGCACAATGAGACATATTTTACACTAACAGAAAAATATTATACTGATTATTCTATATGATTTTAGGAAATTGGAAAACCAGTTGCTACTGTTCCATCTAAACAAGCTCTGCCGCTGATTTAATCCCTTCTCCAAGTGTTCCAGTTATTAAAGAACCAACCGGTCCTTTTGCTTGCACCCAGACTGGGACTGTCCCAATGTGCATATGGTGCATATTTCAAATTTTCGTCGATGATATCGGAACACCGATCAACCGATTTGAATAATCCGATTTGTATTGATAAGATGTGCTGATTAGTTTTTGGCGAAGACAGGTCTAGCCGTTTCGAAGATACGGAGCAAAAAAGTGCAAAAAATGGTAGGTTCTGAGAGAACAAATCGGCCGAATTAAATTATTCAAAAAGCCATTCGATTCGTATTGATGTGGAGACAACTGATTAGTTTTTGGTATAGGCAGGTCCAGCCGTTTAGTAGATACAGAGCAAAAAGTGCAAAAAATCCGATTAGATCCTAGACTTGCGTTGCGTGTGATTACTATATTCTTTCGTTTTGTGATAAGAAAGTCACAACTGATCGGGTTCGAATCCCACGTCTGTAATATTTTTTTAAATTTTTTTAATACTTTTCATGTTTGTATAGTTCTTCTTTTTTTATTGGCCTCGCTTACTCGAGCACCTACATAATTCTATAATTTCTAATGAAAATTCTAGTTTTTATAATATTTATTCATAGGCATTTTTGTTGACTGATTATTTTTATTTCTCGAATGTTCAATTACGGTAGGGGAAGTTCCAGCAATTTGCCCTAAGATACGCATGCGCCCCATGCGCCCCTGTAGTTCATTTTTAAAATGTGGACGTTGGTAGTTTTAATTTTGAAATGTGCGGTAATTATCTGAAGTTAACAACACATTTTGACAGTACAATATTTGACAGTTCAAAGAATAAAAATGAATTGAAATTTGTGATAAAGATCAAGGACAAAGCTTTCGTAATTAATTAATCTTAATTAAGGTAAATAATTAGGTTATAAAAATTAAAAGATCTATAGGTACAACTGTATAAAAATAACTAGAATAACCTATATTTAAGTTTTACACAACAATCTCAAAACGTGGTATGTGTTTAGTTTGCATGATCTTTCAGTATAAAGTACTATTTATGTAATTTCACAAAAATAATTTATTTCTCCAGTATGATTATCATTAACAGCAACCAATTAAGTTATCGGTATCTTATGGGGTCTGATTCTAACCTAGAATTAAGGGTAAGATCATTTCTTACCGGGCTTTCTGCATATGCAATTGGTGAGGATTTATGTGCTGCCAATGTCAAAATTACTTTGATCTAATTTACATCGATTATTTATTAATAGTCTGTTTTAACAGTTCTTTCAGGAACATATTTTGCTCAAAAACCATATCTCAAACGTCTGCCATATAAATTAAGAGGAAGTGTAGTTGTAGCATGCTTGGTAGCTTCTGTAGCAACTTACGGGGTTCAGTCGTTCAATAAATACAGACTAGGACAGAAATTGAAAAATGATATAAGTTGCAAAGTGGAATCTAAAGAACATAATGTTTAAAAGAGCATTTGTTTTGCTAAATTGGTCTCAGTTTTGGGCTCCAAAACCTGTGCTTTGCGTACCGCCATTACATATAAGAAAGTTTAGTGTTAGTAGGTTATTAAATAAAAATATAATAGATAATGATGATGAAGAAGATGAACAAGAGCAGGAAATTATCCATGACAGGTAAGTGTTCTTAAAAATGCCTTTCTTCACACATGCAAATATATAAAAATTGATGTGGGTCAAATAATGTATTTATAAATTTATAAATGTGCTCGTGGTTATATAAAATCTTTTTAATTATTTGTGATATTTTCAGTGAATATGAAGCCATGACATCTGATTTATTAACAAGAAGAACAGCTTCTAATAATTGTTTTGTTATTCAACCTTATGTAAAATGGGGACCATCTAAATCAGATGAATCGCCAGAATTGAAATTATCGGAAGCTGTTGCTTTAGTAAATTCAATACCAGAATGGAGTGTTGCACACAAGGTAAGGTGAGAATTAAGTACCTAAAATTTATCAATATTTTATATCAAAGTCTTGTTATAGATAACTGTGCCTTTGGAGACCTTAAAGAAACATACACTTTTTGGCAAAGGAAAAATGAAAGAATTGCAAGAGCTGATACAAAAATTTCAAAAGCAACAAAATAAGGTAAACTATTTTGTAATAAAGCTTATTAAATTTATGTGTATAATAGAGTTTTTCTTATTTTTAAGGTGACTTCAGTTTTTATAAGCATAGGTACTTTGAAATATGTTCAAAAACGTTATCTTGAAAAAATGTTGAGGTTGCCCATTTGGATAGATATTCAATGGTCCTACAAATTCTGAGATTGCATGCAGTAAGTAAGGAAGCACAATTGCAGGTGAGTACCAAATAAATTATATATTTGTCTTTTGTAGAATAGAAATTTATACAATCTTATGCAATTATATCAGGTTGCTATGGCTGAGTTACCCTATGTATGGTCTCATGTTAGGGATATTGATCCAAATGATTATGTTGGTGATTTAACAGATTTACATCATCGACTGAATGGACGAGAAGCTAAATTGAGCAGAGCTCTGCAGAAAGTTAGGCAACATAGGTAATTAATATTGTAAAAAGGAGTTAGTTATTTTAAAAATATCATTAATTGATTCTTTAATTTATTTCAGACATTTATTACGAAAGCAGAGGTTGCAATTAAATTTTCCTACTATTGCAGTTGTTGGCTATACTAATGCTGGTAATTATTTGTTTTCTCTGAATGTTTTAGTTTTTATCAAACATTTTCATTATGTTTATTTTTCAGGAAAACGTGCCTAATAAAAGCATTGACTGGGAGTGATTCATTGACACCCCAAGATAAATTATTTGCTACATTAGACATAACGGCACATGCTGGAATTTTACCAGGAAATTTGAAAGTTATATACATGGATACTATAGGATTATGTCTGATATTCCAACTAATCTATTGGAATGTTTTCAAGCCACGCTTGAAGATGCTATGATTGCTGTAAGTTTTTGAATTTTTTTTGTGTGTATGAAAATATGAATGGGTTTTTTTTAATGCTTAGTTTGAATATAAATGAAACTAGCTAAATTGCGTCCAATGAAAATATTCTGAATATTTCGTTTTGTTGACTGAATTATGAAGAATGCAAAGTCGTATAATAATTTTAGGATGTGATAGTACATGTTCAAGATTGGTCTCACCCTGCTCGAACTTTTCAAAAAGCCCATGTTGAAAAAACATTAGAAAGGCTACTTTTACATAATCCAGAAAGCGAAAAACTTTTGAATAACATGATTACTGTTGCTAATAAAATAGATCTTTGTCCAGAAGATACAGATAATATTGAGGAAAAAATTCTACCAATTTCTGCTAAAAGACTATTGGGTTTAGATGAACTAAAAGATAAAATTGAAGAAAAATTATTACAAGTAACTAGGAGAATGAAAATTGACATGCGTGTTCCCATGGGGGGTCCAGAGTCGAGCTGGTTGCATAAACATGTTGCAGTAACGCATACATATGCAGATCCAAATGATAGTCAATATTTAATTATGAATGTTATAATCACTGAATTACAATTCACTAGATTTAAAAATATATTTATAAAGGACCAAAAGTTGGATAGATCTAATTTTAGATAGTATAACGAATGTGATAGTTAAATCAAAGATGCCATAAGAAAGGTTACCTAATAATATGTAGAACATTTTTTAATCATTTTGGACACTTCAGAAGTGATCAAATAATTACACTGTCCTGTGTACAATTTTATTGTATTTATATACAGATAAAAATTGATATCAAGTTAGATAACAAAATATAAAATTTAAAAATCAAAACATATTTATAATTTTTTTGGTCTTATTTCTAGAATTTATTCAGCATTAGAAACATTTTGAATAATTTTCTTGAATATTGTGATACCTCGAAGGAAAGTTTCTGTATCTAAATATTCATCATGGTCATGCAGCAATACTGGCGTGTTATTCATGGGAGAAAAACCAAAAGCCGGCAGTCCAATCTATTAATTTGAATCAAAATAAATTATTTTATTTTTATGGGATTCGAAGTTTATATACCACATGCGTAAAACTATATTTGCTAGTAAAAAGAGATCAAATCATATGTATTGAAGCAGTTTTTGCAAACATATAATGCTAGCCCTTTTACCAATTATTGTTTACAAACATAAACGATATAGAAATTTATAATTATATTACTTCTCTTATATATCTGCTATCTGTTGCAGCTGGAAAAACTTGTGGTTCAAGAACAAGTCCCCTAAAAATATTTGAAACACAATGAAAAATATGTCAATTGCATTATATTTGCTATTTGCAAATTACATTTCATCAGTAGCTCTTTAAATGCTGTCCAAAATTTATTGCTTTCATTCAGTTCAGTGTTTGCTATCAGTGGTTCTTTTTGTTCAAATTCTATTTCAACATCCTTGCCAGCTTCTTTGCACCATTTTCGTATCTCTGCTCATATATATATATATATATATATAAATTTAAAAATCAAAACATATTTATAAATTTTTTTTGATCTTATTCTAGAATTTATTCAGCATTAGAAACATTTTGAATAATTTTCTTGAATATTGTGATACCTCGAAGGAAAGTTTCTGTATCTAAATATTCATCATGGTCATGCAGCAATACTGGCGTGTTATTCAGGGGAGAGAAAAACCAAAAGCCGGCCCAGTCCAATCTATTAATTTGAATCAAAATAAATTATTTTATTTTTATGGGATTCGAAGTTATATACACACATGCGTAAAAAACTATATTGCTAGTAAAAAGAGATCAAATCATATGTATTGAAGCAGTTTTTGCAAACATATAATGCTAGCCCTTTTACCAATTATTGTTTACAAACATAAACGATATAGAAATTATATATTATATTACTTCTCTTATATATCTGCTATCTGTTGCAGCTGGAAAAAACTTGTGGTTCAAGAACAAGTCCCCTAAAAATATTTGAAACACAATGAAAAATATGTCAATTGCATTATATTTGCTATTTGCAAATTACATTTCATCAGTAGCTCTTTTAAATGCTGTCCAAAATTTATTGCTTTCATTCAGTTCAGTGTTTGCTATCAGTGGTTCTTTTTGTTCAAATTCTATTTCAACATCCTTGCCAGCTTCTTTGCACCATTTTCGTATCTGGTTATATATATATATATATATATATATATATATATATATATATATATATATTACACATTATACATTATTTTTAAGTATTTTATTACCTTTTCTTCCAATTCTTTGTGGTCTAAGGATGGTGTAATACGTATATCAAAAACGGCCGTCAAAACTTCAGGGATAACATTACTTTGTACGCCACCCTATATATGCAACAAAAATTATCATAATACATAGTACAATTATAATTTAATTACTGTTCACAATAATAATCACCTCCGCTCAAAGATCCAATGGAGCATTGAAATGAAAGATTATTTAAAATAAAGAGTTACTGTCATATGTACATTACCTTTAGAATCGTTAAATTGATAGTTGTAACATCTCCTAATTTATAACTAGGATTCTGTTTCAATATGTCTTCTTGTTCCTTTCTCATATCGAAGAACTTGTCCATAATGTATCTCATTTTTTCTCCTGCAGTATTTTCCAATATCAAAGATCCATGACCAGGATCACCATGACAATGAATATGAACATCTAAAAAATATTTACTTACAGTTTAATAGATTTTGCCTTTCAAAAATATATATTAATAAATAGTTTTTACGCCAAAGACTTCTTTCTCCATAAAATAATGGATAAATTTCATTGGCACTAGCCATGCCTTCGTCTAATGAAACACCAACATTCAAGTTTTGAAATTCTCTTGTCTTAACAAACAATCCCATGCCTTCATGTCCACCAATTTCCTCATCTTTCGAAAAAAAATAAATGTTTAAATTACTATTTGCAGATTTCATTTTTTTTTTTTTAATGATACCTGGTACAAAACTTATATGAATAGTTCTTTTCAAAGTAACTCCTTCGTTCTTAAGTCTTCGTACTGCTTCTATAAATTGAATACCCACACATTTCATATCTTGAGATCCACGAGCATATATTTTTCCGCTTTCATCAACATGAGCCGAGAAAGGTGGATAAGTCCAGAAATCCTATAAATATATAATATAAAAATTTGTATTTATTGAATTTAAATTTCAAAGCATTGTATAAAATGGGTTTAATATACCTCAAAAACAGGCACAACATCCATGTGAGAATTAAGCATAACAGATGGTAAAGTTGGATCTTGACCGGGCCATGTTATAATAACAATTGGCTTTTTTGGTACACAATAATGAACCTGGATAGGCAAATTCAAAGAGGCAGCCTGCTTTTGTAGAAATTTCACACATGGCTCTGAGAAATTAAATTTATATAATCTCTATGAAAGTCTAAATATCATTAGGCTCGTGGATCTCATATGAGTAATTCAAATAACACGAATTTCATAATATATATATATATATATATAATATATATATATACATATATGTATGTATAAATATATATCTCTGGTTTAAAACTTATAAGATTATTTATATACAAATATTGTATATATATGCACCAGATATACACACACATATATATATATATATATATATATATATATATATATATATATATCTGGTGCATCTTTAATCTTTTATTCGGAATTTGCAAGAAAACAAGATAAAAATAAATAAAATACATGATAATTCAATTTTATTTATTTTTATATTATCTCACTAATTAATATTTATATCTGACCTACATTCTATGAAAATAATATCCATAGTGATGAATTAAAATATACTTTTTTTTAAACTTTATATAATAAAATATTATCGTAGGAAGAATATATGAAAATATATTTTCAGTTATTTTTAGTTTTTCTCATATTTATAGTAATGTAAATAAAAGTCGAACCATAGTCTATATTCGGCTGTACACTCGGTATTTGTAAATATTCCCGAAAATTAGCTACTGCCAAAGCATCGTCAGGACTCGTCATTTTAATTTGTTATTAATTTAATATTGTTATTTAATTTATATTTTATTTAATAAAAATAAAAACTATCACTTCGCTAGGCTGATGTAACAATGATCAACGTGTGTGAGAGTTGACGCTTTTATCAGCTGTGAGTGTGTCACGTGGCTTTGTGTTGACAATTGCTTACACAGAATCTCAAAATGTTTAAAGAGAAAAAATCTCATTACGATTCGATGTTTTACTTAGAGATAATAATTTAAGTAATCAATTAACATGAATAAACACTTTTAATTTATAAAGACATAATTATTTTTGTCAATAATAATTATATTAATTAATTAATTGGATATAAAAGTGGTATAAAAAAACATGTTTTAAAACAGCTGAAAATGTTTTCACAAAATTATTTTATTAATCACGATGTAACTTTCATTTTTTTCCTCAACGTTTTGTCAAAAAAATTAACCTAGTTACTATCATCTAGTGTGCAAAATTAAAATCAAGCTTATTTTTATGAGAACGTTTTGTTATTTATTATTATTATTTTATTTATTAACTTCCGATATGGTAAATTAAAGTAAACGCAAAAAAACGAAAATGAAAATTTTTATATATCTTTACGTTTCGAAGGTTTCTGAACATTTTTGCATACCTTAGAAAAAATGGATGTATGTGTTTGTGTGTGTGTGTGCGGATACAAATTTTTGTTGACGATTTCGCAAACACGGATCAATTGATTTCAATAATTAAAAAAACAATCGATTCCTACTAATAAGTAGACGTGCTGATTAGTTTTTGGCAAAGGTGGTCTAGCCGTTTTGAAGATACGGGGCAAAAAGTGCCAAAAATGGTATTTCAGTTTTTGAGATAACGGAGCGTCTGATTTAAATAATTCAAAAGACATTTCACTTGCATTGACGAAATAAACAACTGGTGAAATTGTTGATAAGCAGGTCCAGCGTTTCCGGAGATGCAATAAAAAAAGTGAAAAATAATTCAATTTGGCGGTAAAAAATGAACATTACACATATGTACATCGAATTATCATATATTTTATAAAGATTGTGCCAATGTTTACATGTCAGACGACTACGCAGCGCTCACGCGCTTTGATATTTCGACTAGCTATGCAGCGCGATTGCTTAAAAAAAATGTTCGAAATTTTCAAAATAAATCAAAATAGAAAAAAAAATCAAAATATAAAAAAAATTCAAACATTTCAAAATTTCTCAAAAATCTAATTTTTTAAAAGTTTTGCAAAGTTTATTTCAATAATTCAATTTTCGGTGCGAGAAGTTTCAGCAATTTGCCTTAAGACAAGATGCCATGCACCATTAATTTATTGTTTTTTGTGTCAAAATAATTAACACTATTTTGAATATATATTTAGAAGAGATACCAAAATCATATAACATTTGCGGCTTTTGCTATAAATCTCATTGGTGGTTTTGCGATAGATAACGTTCTCAGATAAAATTGATATGGCATGGAAAAATTGTTTATGTGAAATTCAAATATTTATTACATTCATTATCGTGTTGTTTGTTATAGATCTAATGCTTTATCATACGATTTTTATCATCGTTAATGAGTTGTTACTTAATATGAAATTTCATTTCTTAAATTTCTATTTTTTCAATCAATTTCATATTATTCAATCAAATTTTTCATATTATGATTCCTATTTATTATCATTATAATTTACTTTGCTTCTGAATTTAAATATTTTTGAGTTCTTGCAATAAAACAATAAACATAAATTCATCAATATTAATTTATTATATTCATGCATATGGTACATATTTTATATAATCATTGATATCTAATTTAACATGATTAAATAGGACTATTTTTGTTTTCTTAAATTAAAGAACATTAGCAACATTTTCGATGATCCGTTTATAAATTTGGATTCCTTTTAAAAACGTTTCAGCTTCTATGTACTCGTTATGATCATGCAACAAGTACTCAGTGCGATTAATTGGCGACATGCCAATTGCTGGAATATTCAGCTGAAAATAATAATTAACGGTTGTTATAAATATTAAGAATACAATTCAACTTTAATAAGCACAAAATCATAAAAACCAACTTTATTTGTTGTATCATAGTATTGTTTTAATCGTATTTGAAAATTATTATTCTTGTTTATTACCTGACGCAAATATCTGCTGTCCGAAACTCCAGGGCAGATTTTATGCACGAGAGTCATTTCTCTATGAAATCAAAAATATTTTATAAATAATATTTTTCAATGAAATATTTGTTATTCTTACAATTCATCAGTGGCCTGTTTATAAGCGACCCAGAATTTGTTGGTCTCGTCCAGGACCGTGGGTTGAACGTAAGGGTCTTTTATTTTAAATTCTAAATTTACATTTTCACCAGCTTCTTCACACCATTTTCTGATCTAAAAGTAGAGACTTGTAAATTTGATATTAACTGTTTTTATCATATTATGTTATCAATTTTATCAATTTAGTAATTAATATTTACTAAATAAACTCATACTATTATTATCTTTACGAGAAACAAAGGCTTCTTATAACAATAGTGGATATTAGATCTAGCGTTTTATTCAATATTGACAATTTATTGATTTCATCACTATATTTAAGTTCATTGTTTTAAATTATTGATGAATACTTTATTGTTTTAATTATTTGCATAATTTCAATGTATTGTTCAAACAAACACTGATTATTAATTGTTATTGATAATCAATTATTTCGATGTTTTCTATATTCATACCAGTGCTTCCATTTCGTCATGATCTTGATTAACTGCAACGCGTACGTCGAAACCTAATTTAATTTTATCAGGAATAACGTTAGATTGGACGCCGCCCTGCAAATAAAAATAAAAGTTACTAATATTATTCTTACTAAATTATTGGGATTTGGGATTCTTTTCATTTGTTTAAAATATATTAGCCCATTCATTTTTTCCCTTCTAAAATATGTATCTTATAGCAATCAATATTGCACCCACCTGCAATATTGTCAGATTAACTGAAGTGGCTTCCATGAATTCTTTTTCTCTTTGCTCATTTCGAAAATCAGTAAATTTGTCAATCACCAGACGCGCTTTCTCAGCCGCTGTGTCTGGTTGCAGGCTGCTTCCATGTCCTGGCTGGCCGTTGCATGTTATTTCTAAGCCTGATAAATAAACGTTTTAGAATATTTTCTGGTCAAATTCATTAGGATATTTTATATTAGGAAAATCTAGGATATTCTAGTAGTTTTGGAATCATTGAAAACGGTTGTATGTTTCATGCAAACAGGATGCTCTTAAATAATTGAAACGAATAGGCAAGCACATAAATAGAATTAGATTTGTCGTTTTCTGCATTATATCTTGTGCATTTGTTTGCAAAAACAAGATACGGAATCATATTGAATTGTTCATTGTTCTTTGTTATTCGAATTCACTTGTTTCGACTTGGAATTTTCATAGATATCCTGTTTATTTATTCCTTATATTCCTTATTGTTCCTATTTCAAATAGTAATTTTAAATATTTTTATTGTTATACGTTGAAAATGGTCACGTTCATTTATATACAATTGCATTTTTATTTGAGTAACAACTTCATATTCCGTATGCGTTTTAATAAACTAAAATATAATTTAACAAGTAATCTGTTCATCTACTTACTCCACAATACTTTTTCATCATAATAAACATCATAATGGTCTTCAGTGCTAGGATCGCCTTCATCCATGCAAAAACCTACATTGAGAGCTCGAAAAGCATCGCTTTGTACAAAGAGTTTCATCCCTAATGCGCCGCCAATTTCTTCATCTGAATCAAATCAAATTTTATCTAATTATGAAATTATTATATTATCCCAATGTGGGAAAATATGTTGTTATTTTCAATTTTTAGGGTCAATATAATATAGAGACTCATATACTTATTATATATTACTCAGAAATGGAGTCTGGAAAATATGAAAATAATTTGAAAGGTGAATGGACTAGCTACATAATTTAGGTTATTTTGTTCTGTAGAAATAATAATAATAATTGAGGTTGATTTACCCGGAACAAAGCTTAAATGTACTGTTCTCTGAAGAACGACTTCGGCTTCTTTCATTTCACGCACAGCTTCTATAAACTGTATAGCTATTGATTTCATATCCTGCGATCCTCGTGCATATATTTTTCCAGAATCATCTATGTGTGCTTCAAATGGAGGATAGATCCAACTATCCTGAAATCATTTTTGTAAAATTTCTGATTAATGATTCCAAATACAAAGGGGCCTAAACAAAACCTAAATAAAAATTTCTGCTCGGTTGTAATTCAATTTACATGCGAGAACAAATAATAAATTTAAATTATATCAAATAATATTCCATTCCAAAAAATTTACAAACAAGATTCATAATTGATACCTAGTTCTTTTTGTGGTTCAACAAAATGTTTTCATGTTTACAAACTGAAACAAATACCTAATAACTAATTCTAAATAAATACTTTTTTTTATTTATCATCATGATTTTCGGAATTTTTTGATGGCATTTGCATATAGATTAGTACCTCAGATACTGGTACAACATCCATGTGAGAGTTTAATAGAATTGCTGGCAAAATTGGATTGGCTCCCGGCCAGGTCATTATGACCACAGGTTTTTTTGGATGGCATCTGTAGACAGAAAATCTCAATCCTATTGAATCTGCTATTTTCTTTAGAAATATTACACACGGTTCTGAAAGCATTTTTTAATGGTTGAAGTAATCGTCTGGTACATCAATAATTTTTTAGCATGAAAAAATAAATGTTAAATAAATGCATACGTGTTTAACTCTTATTACTAAAATTGTTTAGAATTTTTTAAAAACGTTTTAAAATACTCACCATAATCAACATCTGGATGAACACTTGGTATCTGTAAATATTCTCTCAGCAATTTAATGGATTCATTGTTTTCCCACTGTTCTGACATTTTCAAGGGTTAAAACTGTACCCAATAATTTTGGAAGTAAACTCTTTCAGCAAAAAATGCTATATGACACGGGAAATTATATTTCTGCTCTCAATATAAAGAAATGATAAGCCTATTGTTTAGTTTGCGTTGGACACTTAATTATCAAGCAAACAATTGTTAAGCAAGTGTTAAATATGTAAATTTTCACATATAGATACGAATGTAAAGTTTATATATAACCGAATAAAAATATTATGCGACACAAATATTGTTATCAAGCTATGAAATGTGTTTGCTATACAGAATTTTACTAAGCAATTGAATATCATGAAAAACTATGAGTAAAGTTTGTAAATCAATTCACATGATTTGTAGCTAAATTAAAAAAATATTTTTCTAATTGGTCTTTAAATTTGTTGCTATTTATTTTCGTTAAGAGCCGTGTTTAAAATATATAAATATCATGAACATAATTTTCTAACAATTATTCAATTACGGTAATTATCTACTGAATCGTGACAAACATAAACTTGACAAATTATTCTCCAAATATTATTGTTTTCTATGTTTCTAATAGTATTCGGTCAACAAACTTTAAATTAGTAAAAACGTTGTAGTAAATTTATTCTATTCAATTCTTCGCCTTATTTGTAGATAATACTAATTAAGTAATTTCATAAAATCATGTCACTAGAAGTGAATTTAGTAGTCTTTCATAGTCATATAATGATCTAATCTAGATAGTTCAAATTTATTTTAAACTATAGTTTTACACTGTTTATGCAAAAGCTTTTAATTATATTTGAAACAAGGATTTATTTTTAATTTAATCCTATTTTTAAACTGGTTTTAGTTTCAGTAAATCTAAATACCAAGACGATAATTCGCTTTCTGAACACACTTATATAAACTAGGCTGAAAAGAAACCGTCGCGGTCTTTCCAGTTACTTGAAGGCTAAATTGTCTGAAGAATTTCGTCCCCACTATCAATTACCGGAGTTATAAAAGAAATAAAAAAGATCTTGTGAATAAATCTTCGACGTTTATTATATGTCCTAATACAAATACAATAACAGTGAAAACAAAACCGATTTTAAATAATTTAAAATTTGATATTTATATAAGGTAACTGGTTCTGGCTTACCTCTTGTGGTATAATATACATATTAAAATTAAGTAAAAAATAATTCAGACAGTTTTATGAAATTAATTTTATTATAAAAGATGCACTACAAAATTTCACAATAAATTAGACTTATATTCTATATGTTACAGATTAATAATTTAATAACTAGGATTGCTATTAATAATAAAATTGTTAAAATATATAAAACTCTGCAATTAAAATTTAGGATTGAATTGTTTGTCACATGATTATTTGCTAAGTATAATATATAAAAATTGGTAAAACGTTAAAAAAAATTACATAATATTTTTATTCTTTATAAAATTCAGATTTTTATTGCATTAAATGCATAAAACATTTTATCATTAGGCAATTAATTTAAAATATTAATAAAACCACATACTTGATACAAGAAAATTCTTTTTACAAGAATTCTCAATTGTACTAATATCAAATAAAAGATTTAGTCTCCGCATCTATACAGTTGAACAGTATTTATAAATGCAAATGATTTCAATCCTTAGAAGACAAGAACAATTAAATTCATAATAATCAAAGTTTAAACTTTGTTAGGCAAGTTTATTCACTTTGTAAATAGGTGTCATCATTTTTAAATGTTTATCATTATTAGGTCTCAAGTATTTTCTGTTCTTAATTTGTATAAAATTAATATGTTATAATAAAATCATCACCAGGCCAGGCTTGCGCATAAAAACTATTTTAAACTCTAAGTATTTCACAAGCTTTATTATAACAAATTGCTATCCAATCTGGTTGAGTGGCTCCCCATTGTATTTGATTAACTTCACCTTCAGCAGCAGTATAGGCCAAAATAGGATCCTCTATTGCTCTAGGCATTTGCTGTATATCCCATATTAAAGCCTGGTGGTCATCACCAGCAGTACAGATATGGCAAGAACTGTAATAATTAATGCAATACAGATTAGCTATTTCTCATTACAAGTTTAAAAAATACTGTTGATGTCATAAAAATCATTAACCTGTGTGGAGCCCATGCTATGCCGTTTACACAAGCTCTGTGATTGCTAAGTCTTGCAACAGGTGTACACGGGACTCTGACATCTAAAATAACAACTTCACAGGCATCCATTGCTACAGTGCCCAAATAATTTGGGTCTTGTTTATTCCAAGCCAATCGTAACAATGGTGTATGTGCAGGATCCTAAGGTAAAAATAATGCAAATCTCAATATTTTAAATTATATTATAGAAGAAATTTGTATAGGATTATACCTCATATATAATTGTTGAATGCTCTAGATGCCTCAAATCAAACATTCTCACAGAACCATCTGCACCTACAGAAGCAAACATATCTCGTCCTCCACCAGCCCTACTGAATGCTATATCATACACTTCCTGGAAATCAAAAAATGTAATAAGGTAACATGCTTCATTGTTTTTTTATATGAAAGCTTTTATTCTTACCTTATCGTGAGCTATTAATTGAGTTTTCACATGACCAGCGACCAAATTAACTCGGCCTAAAACCTAGGAATATTTAAAAATATTTGATTACGATAAATTAAAACATCACGGTATAAAGAGCATATTTAGATATCACAATAAACTTACCTGGCCAGTTTCAAGACCCCATATTGTACATGTTGTGTCGATTGAAGAAGTACCAACTAAATTTGGGTCTACTTCGTTCCAGTCAAATGATGTTAAAGGTGCACAAAAATCACTATTTTTATTATTGTTTAACACACATTCTAATCTTGTGTCTGGTTCACCAGCTCTCCAAACTCGCAAATAATCACCTAGAGCAGACGTTTTATCAATTATTATAACTTATGGTACTCTTGAAATATTTACAAAGTGAAAGAAACTTACCACTTGTAGCTAACAAATCGGGAAATACGCCTTTGGAATCAGGTATCCACATAATTTTTGTTGTTGGATATGGGTGGTCAAATGTGCTGTGAATAATTATATTAATAATAATGATAATAATGAATAATGATAATAATGACTTACTATTATTAATAGGGCGTTTCAAATCATCATACCAATTCTGATTATTTGTGAATATATTACAATACAAAAAATTGGGATTTTTTATATGGAATAAGTTTGAGATTATTATTATTGTTCTTCTCTAACCTTTTAGCACTGAATTCACTTGTGTCCTCATCTAGGGATACAATTTGTACTTTGTTATTGTATTCCTCTACAAAACTACCTAGTGCCAAGCGAAATCTTTTATCCGGCCTCACACTCCAATTCATAGAATATAATGGCCATGGTGCCAAATATTTATAGATTTCTTTTCTTTTGCCGCTGACAGACATGACTAGAAATAAAAACGGATTAATTAAAAAGTAAAGCAAACAGTTTGAGGTTATAAGAAAAATTATAAAAAAGAAACTGTAGTTCCAGAGAATATAAAAAATAGAGGAAATGCGTAGAATATTTTAGAAGTAGTATTATAAATTACCTGTTATTTTCCTAAATGCAATGCATAAAGAAGTATTATACAGAAACAATTTCTATCGCTGTCATATTATATTCATTATTTTTATTTCACATATTTTGTTTTAATCACTTGATTAATAGGCGTAATAGCTCAGGTTTAAAATATTATTATTAATATTAATTACATGTCAAAATTATTGTAATTACATATTAGTATGTCATATAAATCAATCACGTATCAGATCAATAACAAATATATAACAGACACCATGTGTGTCATCTATGAGTTGAAATATGTATTACTTGCAAAACTTGAGCTATTTCCTGCAAGATGGCGCTGTATGCCAACTTCACTCTGATCTGTCAGTCAGATAAAAAATCTTGCACAATGCGTGTCAGTTTGAAATTATTCTTCCCTCGTGGTGGACGTATATTGTTAGATTATGATGATTTTTCGTGAAATAATGCATTAAGATTTTTAGTAATTTTCAATATCTTTTAGTAATATCTGTGGACTAATTAGGTAAGTTATTTCATTCACATTTTGTAACTTTATACTGAAGAGATTCGTTGCGAAATCGGCCACTAGTTATTTTTAAATAGTTGTTATTTGCACGGCGAGATAAAATAATGTGTTCAGTTGAGTATGTATACCGGTATTTGTATACAATGCCTGAATATCTTTATTCACAAAAATGTTAAGGTACATAATTTTCGCGTATAAATTCTAAACAAAGTCTAGACATCCGTTATCTGTTGATTTTTTCCGTTTCGAATTCCCTGGCAATAATTTTGAAAATAATTGATTTTGCTTATAATTTTACTCTTATATATATAGTCTTTTTCCTTCGTTTAAGGTATAATTTTCTAGAGAAATTATGCGTTATTTTTGAGTGTCTTTAACATTACTAATTCAGTGAAATGTTAAACTTGGTCTGGTAAGCACATCAATAATGCCGGTAAGTATTTTTCGTATTAAATTTTGACTATCTAGCTAATTTTAAGGATCTCAACCGTAAGATTTATTATATATAGATATATATATATATATATATATATATATATTTTTTTATTATATTTTTAACAGCCATCAGAACCTTACGTCCTATGAGCTGTTGGGCTGAAACTTCTCCTTACTTCGTATTTTTAGATGGTTAATCCATCCATATTTGATGATTTTTGTTATTAGAATTAATCTAATAGGGCTGACTTTTTATTGGTGCTGCAATGCCGGGGAAGGGCTATTTTCACTTGAAAACATATTGCTATCTATATTTCCAAGTGAAAATCGTTGTCACTGCTGCCTGACAACAGGCTACTCGAAGTGGGTATCGAACCCGGGACCTCTGAAACAAGTCCCGTCGCTCTTAACCGCTTACCTACGGGCGAGCCCTATTATATATGGTATAGATAATAATATCTCAACTTCCCGTAGGGTAAATCGTTCAAAAATCGAAAATGAAATTTTTTTATACCTATACGTTACGAAGGTTTCTGAACATTTTGGCATACCTTAGAAAAAATGGATGCGTGTGTGTGCGTGCGTATGTATGTATGGTTACAATTTTTGGTCCACAATTTTGGATGCACAGATCAACCGATTCGAATAATTCAAAATTTCATTCGATTCCTACTTATGGGGAGACGTGCTGATTAGTTTTTGACAAAGATAGGTCCGGCCGTTTTGGAGATACGGAGCAAACAGTTTATAGATAACTAGTTTCTGAGAGCACAGGACATCCGATTTGAATGATTGAAAAAGTCTTGAATTCATAATGATGTTGAGAAGTGATGATTAGTTTTAGGCAAAGACAGGTCCGTTTCGGAGATATGATGCTAAAGCTAAATGTGCAAAAAAAGGGCAGTTTTTGAGAGAACGTAGCACCCGAATTGATGAAAACGATTGTTGTTGAGGGAAGCAGAAAAAAATTATTTATTTTATTTTTTTGTGATTTTCAAAAAATATATTTCTTTAAATCAAACATTCAAATTCGGATTTTAGCTTTAATGTTAGCTAAAATTCTAAAGCTAACATATATACTTGAAATAAATAATTTGAAGTTTGCAATTTAGTTTATGTAATTCATATAAATATAAGACAAGATCCTTTATTATAAGTTTGCTCCAATTACTTTTCTTTTCTCTTTTCATTTACTTTTCATGTTAACTTAAATAATCGTCATCGTCCAATTTACAAGCACTTATATTTTGTATATAAAATACGAATAATGAAAGTTACAGCATTATATTTGAAAACATTTAATATTCCTCGAATATTTCATTATGGTAAGGGGCATTCTAGCAATTTGCCATAAGGCACGATACCATAAACCACTAGTTTTAATTTGGATATTACTGATTTTAAATAATTTACTACTCATTTGTCAATTGACTAATTTACTATCGTGAATTGTGCTGTGCAGAATTTGTTTTGGTTTCACTTTTCAACTTTGTTACCACTTATCAAGTTGCCCGGATCAAAGGTTCTCGACTCTTAATGCAATGCAAACAATGTGTGTTAATGTGCTTTTGTTAAACATTTTAATCATCTTCTATATTATTTGTTCAAATACTCGCATCCATGTACAATAATAACTGGCTAATTAATAATGATTTAAACATTTAAAAATATACGTATTTGTTTCTTATGATAAAACTTTATAAAATAAGTTTTGACGCAGTGAAATGTTTTGGGATCTGCGACTAGATGTGTAGAATGTATAGTCTATTTATAACGCAAACAGAAACAATATAGTGATTGATAATGTCCAACAGTAAACATTGGAAGTTGATTATTTTCTTTGAAAATGATTTACATTCATGTATCTGCAGACGGAAAGCAAAAATTTAACTTGCTCTCTGGGATACAATAATTAATTTATTTGAAATTGGGTAAACTATAATACTAATTAATTCAGTATTCTAAATGCAAGAAATTCTTCTAAATACATAGATTTTTTAAGCAATTACAGTTATATTTTTTGAAAATAATTAAATATGGTTAGCCAATATATTTTAAATAGCATAATTAAAATTATATATTTAAATAATTTATATTTTTATATATATATATATATATATATATATATCTTCTATATATATAAAAATAAGTCGGGTTTTCCTTCCTGACGAAATAACTCCAGAACGCACGAACCGATTTCGACAATTTTGCTTTCGTTGGAAAATTTGAGTAATGACATTAGTGAGAATTATCAGAATTATGCTTGGTTAAGTCAACGAGCATTTCTTACCGCAAAGAATAATGATGTACACGCACTGAATTTTACCATTCAATCAAAAATTGCTGGCGGTTTGGTGACATGCCAATGATTCCGACTGGTCTTCCGTTTGACTGATGATTGCAATTTCCAGTTCGCCTAGCGTTCGCAATAACAAGTCGCAATAACAAATCATTGTTTTTCACATGAGCAGTTATACGTTGCCTGTTCACGAGTTGGAAAACCATCCGCTTTGTTTGTGTTAACGTCAGACTAAAAAACAAAAAATGTGGTTTACCAAAGAGCACTTCAATGAAACGGATAATTTGCGGATTCACTTTCATTTACTTAGAGAAGTTCAACTAAAAAACACTTCATTTTTGTAATCGAAATAAATTCATTACTGTTGTATAATAAAATCAAATTTTTCCTTTTCAAATATAAAACAAACAAAAAATTTCTTCATCTTTCTCGCGAAACCATCTGGTGGCGAAACGGAGTTCGTCGTGTTTGCTAGTATATATATATATATATATATATATATAATTTATTTATATAATATTATTTCAAAGCATATTAAAATTTCCATTTATTTAATGGCCATTTTAACTTGAACTGTGAGAAAGCATTTGCATAAAACTAATCAACTAATAAACTAATTCCCGTACTGTATGTGCCTCAATCAATGTATATATTTTTGTTACGTGAATGTTACTTATTTTAATGTATATAAATAAGATAAATTTTGTAAATCATTATTATGAACTCATTTCTGTATTAATTAGATATTACCTACAATTAGTTATTATTGGGAACTACTTATTATTGGTAATGATTATTTTATTACTAAGAGATGCATTTCTTATAATTGATTTATTCAATGTATATTGGATTAAAGCTATTAGGAAACTTTTGGCTCCTCGTAAATTTTAATTTGCACTTGTAGCATAGACGCAATCTATCTCGAACATAATTGGTTTTTGAGCCAAACACGTGCTACATTAACATTTTATATGCTGTAGTTCGTTTACATGTTCTAAAAACTGCTGAAAAAAAATCCAAAATAAGTTATAAAACTATGATAGATATGATACAATAGAAGGTTCTGGATGTGTAAAATTATTCTCGCGGTACAAAAAATGAGTGAATTTAAATGGTCTTAATACCCGTAACTTCACATCTATCAATTTGTTGTGATACTTTAGATAAGTTTAAAAATTATATTTGTCTAGTTCATTTGCAGTCAGCACTTTCCAATCCAAAACAAATGTTAATTTTTTTATCGATCAGTTTTCATGTCATGGAAATTATAAGTTGCGCACGTTATCTTAAATTTAGATAAAAATTGCTGCAAATTCTGCTGTCGATTCGGAGCTAGTCTTCTGGCTTTTAATATAAACAAAGAATTTCGTATGAGTAAAATCGATTGTAAATTCTATTTATGAATGGCACAGACTTTTATCTTTTTGTTATTTATTTTGTTTTTTTTTTTTTAAATGGTATTTTCAAAAATGATATGATGTGGAACCTTATTGAAACATATATATTTCTGAATGAAACGACGATCATTCTTGTTGTCTAATTGAATATCATATTTTAAACATACGGTATCATATCACATCTGCTTAATTAATTTTAACATAAACAACGGCAACACATTGTGGCTTAGACGAAAATATCTCATTTCAACAGTAGACGGGTGCGTCCCTGAAAATGTTAAAAAATATAAACATTGTGTTCGTTTTGCACAAACCTGTATACGAAGAGAGGTCTTGGATATATTTTTAGTTTTTGCATTAACAATCAAAATAAAATATTACGAATTAATAATTTATCATTATCATGACGAAGGAAGACCTGGTGTAGGTTAGAGTCACATTCATGTTCTTCAGAGAGTTGGTTTTATGAAACTTTATTTACTTACAATTTTCTACTAGCTTTGTTA